GAGAAAAACGTTAGTAGATAAAAGCAAAGTCAGACTGTCAATAACAAGAGTTCCATTAAAATAAAAATTGCATTATATATTGAATATATTTGAATGAATGGTACCTTGCTTCTGTTAAAGAATGTTTCCTGAGGAAATAAATTTTGAACTAAGTTTGTCATTTGGAGAAGTATCCATTCAAACCAGGCTGAGCAAAGTTGGTTCTGATAAAAAATATTTTTATTGATTGTGGAAATAATCTTTAACTAGGTCCACTAAATGGATGGTTTAACTTGAGCGAGCAACAAGGCGGCTTATGAGAAACTGAAGCTTACCTCGACCCTGAGTGCGCAACATGTGGGCTGTGCGTATGAGCTTAATAGTCATTCCTCTATTTCTCTATTTTGAAAGCAGCCATCGAAGACGTTTTTCAACGGTTGTGCTGTATCCGGACACAATTCCTTCCACGTTCCTCCAATCTTTCGCCGCCATGTTGAATTCAATAACTTGTTCTCAGTTCCTCTCTTTCATCACTAAAGGGAGACGAAATGAGGCTTAGGCTCTCTCTCATGACAGGTCTTCGCTCCTCCCCGATAGAATAAGTAAAGAAATAATTGAAGTCTTATTTTGAAATTGGGTGAATAAATTAACTAATTTCTCGTTATCCTCTTTTAAAGTAGGCGTCTTAAAGGTAACGCAAAGATTGTGATGGGACACTGTAATTTACTGGTAAAAGAAAACAAAAAAGGAATAAATAAACGCTTTGTTACTCCCCGATAAAGGAGAATATATAGAGATTACAGCAAAAGTAGGCAAAATGATTCTATAACATGAGGAGAAAGCAACATGACGCTGAGTTATTTTGTACTGACCAACCGCACTGCGCATAACTGCGCATATAGTTGAACATGAGTCGAGAATGATTAGAAGCAAAGGAAAAAATAAAAAGAAGTTCGATCAATTTGAAAGCCGGGTTGTAGAAGATGTTCATTAGTCTTGCCTCGCGAGGATAAAAATATTTGGAGTTTTTATGAGGACTCGAACGTCAAACTATCGCATTTCGCGCTCCGATGGTCTACCACTTAGCCACAGAGACAAAATAAAAAGCTATTAGTAATTACAAAGTCCACACGAGACGTGCGTCCTGTATTCAGCTGCGCCAAGCAATGTCGAAAGTGTGAACAAAATAAGACAGAGACAAAACGAATAAATAAGATTTACTTTTTTCTCCCATCACTCCTGTTTTGCTTTGATTATAAACACAAAATTATATTTTACGAGTAATAAATAAAGGGATAAGTATCTAAAGAAACTGCGTCTGAGGGGGTAAAAGAAGATATTTTGGTTTTATCAACCGAGTACATGAATTTATAAAGGTGCAAATCGGCCGAAACTTTCTAAAGCCGAAGTTTTAAGCTTTAGCCCCTCGTATCAGCGAATATCTTACGAGCCTGAGTTGTGTCTGAGTTTGATTACCCCCCCCCCCTTAAGCTTAGTAGATCGGTCACAGAAAAGCCGGAGTGAAACTGTAGCTTTATAATTTGCCATAGAATGGAAGCAGCGAAATTTTAAAAAAATGGAATGTAAATTAGGAACTGTAAGGACTCTAAGTTTACAAACAGGTTAAACTTTTGAAATTCTGCTCCGGAGGTTAAATTGCTTCATGTGTATCCACCTTGTTTTATCCAAATTGAGTTTATTTCAATTGCAGGACGATAAGACTCTTACGAACGATGCCAAGACCTGGCAACATCCCCTTTAGTTAAAGACCTGTTATGGAAATTTAAGTAATTAGCATCTTTTCTGTCTTTTATTGAAATGAATTAAACTAAAAGCCATTGTGTTTTGAAAATTTGTTCGTCTCTGATGTCTTGAATACCCATACGGAGGTAAATCGCGAATTTAAACAAAAAGTTTCAAAAATTATTGACTGTGTTTGAAATTCTGTATACCTTTTACTCACAGAAATGATCGCTACTCAAGGCTTTTCTTAAAATTTCAACACACTCTATAGCTAGAGTCGATAGGTAAAGAATTACTGCATGAAAAAATGAAAAAGAAACAACGAGATATTGCCTGAATGAACTCAACCCTAAGTTCTCAGCACTAGCCAACAAAGAAATATGGTAACAAAAAAAGGGAAAACCAGGTCGGAGATCTCAGGATTGAGAGAGTTAATTATTCCGTTAATGTATATTGTTTTGTCGGTGCTTAAGTTATCAGCTAAATAGTTTACTCATCTCTGGGCCCGGTTTAATTGCACCTGCTAAGATCGTTTATTTACTTATAATAAGAACGAATAATTCATCATTTTCAAAAGACTCTTAAGATAGACAAAACTGTACAGACTTCAATTACTGTTCAAAACAGCAAGAATTCTGTCCATGGTGTGAAGTTTGATAAACGTTTTTATATCTGACTTTGTCGCAGTTTTATTGAGTTCAATTGGTTTATTGTTAATTTTTAATCGACTACCCTCGCAGCTATATTTTGAACCATGCATCCTCTGAAAAAGTTTGAGCTTGATATCTTGACTGCAGCCTCTTTCCTCTGCTTTTTATCTGGAGTCGTATTTCAACTTTGCCATGGTTGCTCTGGTAAGTGTGTATTTTTCCTTTTCTTTTCGTTATTCTGAAAGTAAGTTTGTGAAAACAGCAGCCTTTCATTTCCTCCACATTGATATTAACCGAAGTTCCTTTACATGAACACTTTTTAGATCTCCAACTACTAGTAGTAAAGTTTTATCGAACATTTGCAATAACATGCATGTGATTAAGATAACTAACACTGAAATATGGAGGACCTGGTCACAGTAAGGAAATCTGGTAAATGATTTTTAAGCTCGATCGTTGGGCAACGAAAGACATGTTTCTTCTCTGAAAATTCGAGAAGCTTATCAAACAGAAGTCGTGTTTGTTTTTTCTTTTGCGTGTCTCAGGCCAGCGGAGGGAATGCGAGACGCGTGGGGTATTACACGCGCGAGGAGAAGGGTGGGAAAAAGTTACTTCAACAAACATATTCATATTTAAAACGCACGAGCGATCCTGCGTGTCTCATTCTGAAAAAAGATTAAAAAACAAAAAGAGAATTTCTCCTGTTTTTCAAACACAATATCAAACCCTCCTGGAGCCGTTGTTGCGTTTAAATTCTCTGCTCCATTTACGCTAACAATTAAGCTCAATTACCAACTAAGCCACAATTACTTCCTTGTCGAAATTGGTTATATGATTTTAATCTTAAATGTTCCCGCGGTTATAGAGAGAAGCATAAGTTCCTCCGAAAGCATCATGTGTAGAGTTACGGTGAGAAAAATAGTCACAAATTATTAATCACCTGCTTCTTTCATTTAATTGAAGAACCTAGTAAAGAGATGCAAAACAGGGGAGTTCAAATTCTCTGCACAACAAACAGAGATGTTTTTTCTTCGCTCTGTAAAAGAAACCTTGATACAAATTGAGATAAATGTGAAAAACGTTACTTTTCAAGATTACCTAGGACTGAAATTCAGTCTGTAGGCATTTTTTTAAAAAAAGAAACAAAAATAATCCACCTTGGGATACCATTTGATTTGCAGAGAGGTTTTCTGTTAATTCTAAGTAACGTTAGAATTTGATAACTTAGTGCGATGAACGCCAAATAGAGTAAACTCACGGTTTCTCGGTAGGATCAGATGACATTCGTATCATGCGGTACAGGTGTTTGTTATGTAAAATGTTTTGTTGTAGAGGTGCAAGCAGTAAAAATTATAATGGCATCTTTATCAAACACATTCTTTCGATCGTGGGAGGCAGTTTCTCCTTTATGAAATAAATTCACGGCGGTAAGACAACGACGTTCACTGAAATTTTCAACTGTCTTAAAGGTGATATTCGTATTTCAGCATCCGTACACTCGTCAACCACTCCGTTTAGGAAATTTGTTATTAGGCACTTGACAGGAAATTTGAACTAAGCAACCACTGATAATTTACTGAGGCGGCACGCGTGACGCATGTCTTCTTAGTTGCATGAAAACCGAGGCCTATCAAGTTATGCGGTAAAGTGTGGGCGTGCATACATCTGTCCATAACCTAGTGGCCTATGATAAAAAAAATTTGAACTTCAAAAGGAGCGGTAATTAACAAAGAGGAACTCTATCTATATGTTCGTGAGGCTTCGCCAAAACAATAACAGTATAGTCCACGAAGCAGTACTCTTGTCATTATTCGTGACAGAGAAAGCTAAAACCTTCATTTAAGTTGACGCTTTCAAGCTGTGACTGAAAGAAAAGGTTTAAATGGCGTCTATGTACCAATTTGATTCTGGGACGTCGTTATTCCTTTCTGTCTTTGTCGTTTTCTCAGGAATCATATTTTGCTTTTGTGAAGGCTGTACAGGTAGGGACATACCGCGGAAGCAATGCTTTATTAGCATGTTTTGTTGATAAAGAAATGGTATCTTCAGCCTATTTTCACTCATTTATTTATCAAGCTCCCCAAAATTTAAACTGTTTGCTATTAATAATTTTCCCCTTAAAAATTGTGAAAGAAGGTGTTATTTCCTGCACATGACGGAGACTAGAACACCAACCACGAATTTCTACTACAACCGAACAACAAGAAATAGATCTTGGTAGGTGAAGAATTTTAATCCAAATTTTTAGGCAAATTGACTGAAATGATGAGGCGATGATATGAAAAATAAGCAGGCGAATAACAAAAATCGTAAACCGATGACAAAAATAACCAAAACCATGCACCAATCAATTGTCCCCACCGTGAATTGTAAATTTGAACATCTAAAATTCAACACTCGTCGCCAAGAAATCCCTTGGCTCGTTTTCCCGTTTACTTACTCTAGGCTAAAAATTGAGAGTTTTAATATTTTAAACCTGCGAATAACAATTCAACATTAACAACAATATTTTATTTCAAAACTGCAAATAACAATTCCAGCAAATGTTTATTTTTAATTGTTTGGGAACAAATAACAAAAACGGTTAATGTAGACGTTTCGTAAAAGGGTTTAAAAGCCCAAGTTGAAAGTTTTTTTTACTTTGCTTCTTCCTCTTTTAAGTGTTTTTTTTCTTTTTTTGCAGCAGACGAGTGTCGCATCATCCTATTTGAGGAACCGATACCAAATATGGCAATTAAGGGACATGTGATCAGGAGTGGTGAAGTCCTTAGTGAGGGGAGCTGTCGCACGATGTGTTATATGGAGCCTAACTGTGTTTCCATAAATGTGCAACCTTTGCAAGGAGGAAAGTACAAATGTGAGTTAAATAACGCCACAGTTGATGAAAGTAAACTGACCTTCCTTCAGGAAACGGATGCTTACTACCTAGCTATTGAGGTAAATGCTTTACTTCAAGTTAAGTTTCACAAGAGAAGAATTCAAAGACGCATAATGAACCGTTTCTTTCTTTAACCCTTTAACTCCTATGAGTGACCAAAACAGAATTTCTCTTTACCAAAGCAATACATTATCAAACAGACAAGTGATGAGAATAAAAAAAAAATCCGATAGAGGATTATTAGTTGATTCAATACCAAATTCTCAGAACTAACATTACAGGAATTGTATGGCAGACAGTAAGGAGAATTACTAATGGAATCTTAGGAGTGAAAGGGTTAAGAAATCAACGATGAAAAATTTACCTTTTGTTGAAAAAGTAACATGTACACCCTTTGTCAGAAACTCGTCTCTTCGAAAAGAGCATCAAGTTGGAATTCAGGAAATTTAAATGAATTGTTAATGATATAGGTGAGGTTGAGGTTCCCTCAGAAAATAACAGAAATTTTTTTACTTTAAATTTCGATCTACCAAAACTGGCAAACAATTGAAACTACATATCTGATGACTTATATATTAAGGAAAGAATGATTCACCCCAAGAATTAACAAGATGCTTTCCGGTGAAACAGGCAAAAGCCCCTCCTGATTCCTCATAATAAAGTTCAGGATTATAGTTTTGACGGTAAACTATTACGTTTGTTAGGCCAATAAAATAATTTGGCAGGAAACAATTTAAAAAAACCAGCATAATCACCTAAGTTTGTAATATGAAGGCTTTCTAGGAAATTCGTTTCTAAGATTGTGTTCGAGGAGCGTTGGTGTTTACCACATGTACACATGCTCGGAACTTAATCATTTTAGACCAGCATTTTTACTGCTTTTCCTTCTTCCATCAAAATCTGGCTTCACACCTTTACGTCTTGTTCAATGTTACTCCATATACGTTGGATATATTTGTTCTTTTGGGAGGAAACCCAGCCTTATACAAGCCTCGTCATACACATTATAATTTAACGTAGCATGTCATGCTTCCTTATAAATTTTTATTGTAATATGGCAAATATGAATAAATAGATAAAAAAAATTTTTGTCTTCTTTTTTCAATCAGAGCGTCATTTTTTCTTCTCAACAGAATCCCTGTAGTAGCAGCCCCTGTGTGAATAACGGAACTTGCCAAGTTGGTTTCACCAGCAAAGGGTTTCGATGTGTTTGTGTTCCCGGATATGCTGGAGAAAACTGCAGTGGTATTTTAAAATTTGTGATTTTGAAAATTTAGTTGGCCCTGATTTGTGATCAACATATATTCTCAAAATAGAAGAAAATTTGTTGATGTACACAAAAAGTCACTAAGTCCTCAAAACTCATCAAACCACGAGAAAAGTCACGTCAACCTCCATAGTCGCTTGGAATCAAACTGAAAACGTCAACCCTGTCAAATTGATTCGCCTGGCATTTGTCAGTGTAACCAACGCGTGACTACATAGTTAAAAGATTATATTTAATCACAAATGCGAGGAATTAGTTGTACTCGATCACTTCGTCTTCCGCAGACACAGAATTTTCATTTGGAACGATGAAATGGGCTCTTTCTGAGAATCACTCACAGGCTTAAATTTGTTCTCACGAGACTGTGTACTATGGCCTCTCCTACTAGTACATAACATATAATTCCTCAACCAGGGAAATGTTTCCGTGGCATTTTTCTGATACCCACTTGCACTCAAAGTGGAGAGAGAAAACTTTGAGAGTTCAGATGGCTGAGTCGATATCTTCCTTGTTTTTTTAAATAAAAAAATTCCTCATACAACTTGGCCGACTTCTCACTCTAATGTTTCATTTCTTTTCATAGTTTTATCAAAATCTTGCAGTGACTTAAAGAAGCTTGATCCTAAGGCAAAAAGTGGAATCTGTCTGATTGATCCAGATGGTGAAGGAGGATTGCTGCCTTACCACGTCACCTGTGATATGAGTGACAAAGGCAGAGTTGGCGTGACTGTCATAAGTCACGACAGCGAGAGCAGGACATTGGTGAACGAAAGTGAAGGCGAAGGATCCTACTCTCGCGACATACACTACAAGGAAGCAAACATTTCTCAACTGGTGAGTCTTATCAACGTTTCCCTGCACTGTGAACAGTTCATAAAGTACGAGTGCAGAGGTTCTACATTGACAGATGGCTTTTGGGTTTCACGTGATTCGATAAAAATGACATACTGGAGTGGTGCGGCACCTGAAAGTCACATGTGCGCATGCGGAATGAACGGCACATGCGCACGAACCAGTGGGTCAATAACATGCTCCTGTAACTGTTGTGCGAATGACGGTGAATGGCGAGTAGATAGTGGTGTCCTTACCAACAAGACACATCTACCGGTTAAACAGCTCAGGTTTGGAGATACAGGTGTGCATGACAAAGGAAAGGATTCAGAATTTGACGAGCAGGGTTACCATACCTTGGGCAAGTTTAAGTGTTACGGAATAGCCTGATTTTATGAAAGAACTAAATCGCTAATCAACACTGATCGTCCCGTCTTACAGTAAGCTTATAATAACTATTGCCAGAGATTATAATTTAAAAAGTTTATTAAACAATGTTTTTACTTATTTCGTGTGGCAATATTTCACGAGGAAGCTCACAATGATGATTCGATAATGACGCCAATATATTTTCAGTAATTTATTCACTTAATTCACTTATGGCTAATATCCAACCTGGCTGGCCAAGTTCAGCTGCAAGTTGATTTGAATGGGGACCTGTATAAACAATTGGAATATAAAAAATATGTATAGATTTACTTCACTAAACTGTCACGAGATTGTAAACTTTGAGTGCTGGTGTAAAACTTATACATGATAATCGCTATGAATTCTGTTGAAACTAACTAGTTTAACTACGCTGCATTTTAACCATTAATGGTTGTAATTTGTTAGGAAGTGAATGATCGACTTATAAGCTTGTCTTGGAGTAAAACAGATCCTGATAATTGTATTAATAAGTCTTCAATCATGATACTCTGCGCCAATTTACTATGTGTCAAAGTATTATGCGCCAATGTATTATGCGTCAATGGCAATTTTTCTTTAGCGTTAATGTTGTTAAATATATATCTTCCAACATGTATATACACAATGCTAGTGATTTTTCGAATAATGGAAGCAGTTGCGCTTATATCAGTTATATATTTAGTAAAAAGACTCGAGTGATACTCTAATCACCGTAGATTTAAAGTTCTAAATGTTTAGGGAGGAGGACACAATTTGGAAACTTTTGAAAGAGTTTTTACTATACACTAAAATATTAATTTACGACTTGTTACCTTTTGTTGCTACAACATGGTGTCATTGCTTAAACTGACTGCATTATTAATAATATAATGGCTGATTTTTATTAAAGCTGATTAAAAAGTTTACCAAACAAACTGTCTGTGTCGCATTGAGGGGGGGGGGGAGAGGGAGAGGGTGTGAGGGGAAGGGGGCGTGAGGGGGAGGGGGTGTGAGGATATTGATACCGCCTTGATTAAAAAACCAAACTCTCAGGACATGATGACTTACAAAGAAGAATATTGTCATTATTTGAACAAGCTGACGCAGATCTTGGAAGCCACAGGGCTAACATGTTTTGATACCCATCCCTGAGGGTTCTAAAGGTTATTGTTATAATATTTCTTGGACTTATTATTATATTTGCTTCTTGTCTTCCGGAGTAAAAATTCCACTTACACAAGAAATACAATTTACCTTAATTTTTGCTTTGATTATGAATCTCATCTAAACATTAAAAAAAAGACCCTCGATTAAGATGAGACCGAAAAAAATGTTACCTTCCTTATCAGCTCTCGTTTTGATATATCGAATAGACCTAATTGCTTTAGCTTCATTTGAATTCCTGATCACTTCTGATGATTTTAGATCTATCGATCTGAGGACAGGGGGGCTAAAATGCTAATGAACTCCGATTGCAACAATTGGATTAAACCACTGAAAGAATTTCCAAGAGGGAAAGATTTTGGGGATGGAATTCAAAGTTTTGACGGAAAGTGGAAAGAAGCCTCTGTGTTATTAATCGAGAAATGCGAATAAGATATGCATACTTAGTAGTAATAACTTGTCATTTTCGCTTTGGCTTTGAACAAACATTATACCTGCTGGACTACAGTCGGAGCCTGCGTCATCATATTTTGGGTTTTCCAAAGTGTCATCGCGAGAGAGCTGCCTCTAAATAATATTTTGCTATTTTAGATGAGCACTAAAGGAATAATAACAATAAAAAGTCAGAAGGAAACCAATTATAAGATAGTTAGCTTTTATCAGCTGAGTTGATAATGTAAATTGGCCACCATAAAGAGTCTCAAAAGCTGACATTTCAAAGCGGATTGGTCTTTCAGGTTGACTCGCATTGGAAATGAGAAACTTGAAAATTGTGGGGCAAAATTTGTTGAAGTACACACCCCGTGAAGGTAATTGTGTCAAGGCAATGCCATAACACACTGCAAGGTCAACATAGCAAAGAAGAGGGCGCATAGTTTCATCGATTTTACTGGCAATTTCCCTACAAATTTAAAGGCGTTAACTTCCCCTAGATATGCTTACATTGCCACCGTGGTTCCTTTCTTGAAGTCATTCCTGTTATGCGTAGAATTGTCAGTAAATATTAAGTGCATTGCATAGTTATGGTAATGACTGTTAGATAAATAATGCCTTTTTCAAATAATTTGGAAGTTATTTTTTGTCTTTTCATTAGCGTGCTTGCAAGAAATTGAATCAGTCATTTTCTGTGGCACATCATCGTCCAACATGACGTAACACAATGAATGGTGTTTAAAAGCTGTCATGACACGAGAAGAAATGGAATCATTTTGCTACTGTCTTCGGTTTCAAAAATAATATTCAGGGTTGCCTGAAACTATTCTTAAACCTACCCTATATAGATTGGAGAATACGAGTGATATAAATGCCTATGGAAAAACCAAGATCTTTTCTAAAAGGACTTGTCCATCGGACATGAAGACTGTCATATGTGTTTATTGACTTAACAGTTATTACGTGAATAACGTTATAATTGTTTTTCAAAAGTTTCTAGCCTTGAGAAAAGATAAACTCTCTCTGTTTTCTGTGATTGGGATATTGAAGACTTTTCATTTCGATCTACACTTTTTACCGGGAACTCTGGCCGGGATACTGATAGGCTTTTTGAAAATTAATATAGCACCTTTAAATTTCACCTGCTGAAATTTAGACGGGCTCTTTCGGTTTTAAGTAAAGACAAATTAATTAGCATAAGCTGTGAGAGCTGCAGTGTACTGCCGAAGGTGGAATTTTGACCCCTCCGGCTGTAAACCAGAATCTATAAGGATGAATTATTCGACATATTTCAAGATTACAGCCACAACTTTCTCTTTTACCCTTTCTATTTTGTTCGGAATCAGATTGACATCGGTTTTCGCTTGTTCTGGTGAGTTTAAATCTAAATGTTGCAATAAATTTTAGTATTATAATTTCCTATTTTTAATTTATTTTTTATGTTTAACAATCTAAGCAGAGTGCAATAACGCCTTGTTCAACTCAAAACTGGAAAAATATAACTTCCAAGTTTTTCAACAACATAATCCTTGATGGATGGTGACGGTTTTTAATTTCGTGAACCCCTCGGTTCTTTTTAACTGAAGACATTGTCGGCCAAATTTTGCTTCCCGTTGTCTCTAAACCAGGATGCAAACTTCAGGACAAAGTTGTTGGTACAACGTTGTTAGAACAGTCTTAACAGAGCATGTTTTAGTGAATTAGCCTATAATTGCTTTTAAGGTTAATTTAAAAGACTGCAGAAAGCAAAGTGCCCCTCAGTGCTACCTCTGTCGGCGACCGAATTTAATTCTCATAATTCAACAGATGGGTGTAGAAAACGTGTTGTTAAAAATATTTTAATCCTACCAAGACCTATCAAATGCTTTAAAAAGGGCTCATAAAAACGAAAAAGTTCTAAGGTAGACGAGAAGATGAAGGTTTCACGTGGAATTATTTTATAAATTTGTCTCTAGTCGTTTGGCAGAATCCTCTTCAGTATCAGTCGATGAGAGTTATGTTCTTTTGAGTGCTAAAAATTTCTTTCAAATAGAACCTTTAGATCCCGAGAAAAGAGCTTTCTAATTTTAAAACTAATAATTTGTCAACAAAATTATTTATGCCTGCTTAGCCGGTGAAAGTTTAGTTAAGCTAATTGTGAATTAGTTTTCATGCGACATAAAAAGTAAGTTTATGACATTCGATTTGATAATAGATTTAAAAACGAAAATCGCAAAGAGCCGATGTTATAAATGACAAATACCTAGCGTTCTACTATTAATGTTAACGTGCACTAGTATGATTAACAGGCGACGAATGGCGCATCATTCTGTTCGAGGAGCCGAAACCGCATAAGGTAATAAAGGGGCACGTGATTAGAAGTGAAGAGGTAGTTAATGAGGGGTTCTGCCGGATGATGTGTTATGTGTGAATGTACTTTTATGGAACCACAAGAAAAAAAAACCAATAAGTCATTTTTCTTTTTTAGACGCAGTTTCTGAAATATTTTTGGAGGCACTCTCGTTTTCAATTAGTCGTAAATGGCTCAAACGGGTATCGAATACAGTGTTTGAGACTAGACCGCCTGTCGAGACACCAATAAACGCAAGTTTCAAACACAAAGGATAACTCAGACATGTACAATGTGAAACCTTTACAAGGAGGAAAAGACAATTGCGAATTGAATAACGCCACAGCTGATGAAAGCCAACTGGTTTTCCTTGAGCTGGAAACTTTTAATGCTTACTACTTGGCTGTTGAGGTCAGTAAACTTTTCATAGTTCCATATATAGGCTTTTCACGCCTCAATAGTATCTTTAATTCCAATCAATTTGATGCTTTCGTTTAAAAAGCAAGGACGAAACAACTAATTAAATGCTGGAGGACAGCTCAGAAAGGATAGAGACTCCACTGAAAAATATGCAGCACTGAACAACGAAGCATAAAAAGAGCGAAAAGCATCCAAATTCTGGCAAACTGACCAATGTCATAAACTGTTGTCCACGGTTGATTTACTTTCTTCATCTTTCGTTTCAATTTTTCTCTGTTATGCCGTCGTTGACTTAATTTTTGACGGTGTTTTACGCAGTATATGTTCAACTTTCGCGGTCCTTGTGGTAAAAATTGTGTCGTGTCTTTAAAATTATCCTTCAGTTACTATCTCTTTCGTTTTCAGCAGAATCCATGCAGTAGCAGCCCTTGTTTAAATAGAGGAACTTGTCAAGTTGGTTTCACTAGCAAAGGCTTCCGCTGCCTCTGTGTTCCTGGGTATGCCGGAGCAAATTGCAGTGGTACTGTAAAATCTTCTTAGAGATACACTTGTCTTGAATTAACTACCACACCTTACTTCCCCAAAAAATATTGCCAGTAATCTACAGGAACCGTAAGGTTCAACCACTTACTTCTCCCAAACTTTTAAATCCAACGAAGTTTTGAATTTATTTTATTCGTCTGATTAAGGCAAAACGGAAGGGATTTTGTTTAAGAGATTGTTGGCTTTAAAAGTTTTCTTTACACTCAAATGGATGGAAAAGATAGTTTTTACTTATCAAAACAATATTGCTGCAATTCATCGTGAGGCTCCCTTCAGCAAGTCTTTCAAAACATTTAATTAAACATTTGCCTCTCTTTATCCCCACAGTGCTACCAAAATCCTGCGGCCATTTAAAAAAGCTCCATCGTGAAGCAAAAAGTGGACTATACATGATTGATCCAGACAGTGAAGGTGAACTATTGCCTTATAAGGTCATGTGTGACATGACTGACAAAAACGGAGTTGGCGTGACTGTCATAAGTCACGACAGCGAAATCAGAACACAGGTGAAAGGATGTGAAGATGCAGGCTGTTACTCGCGCAACATTAACTATACAGGAGCGAGCCTCTTTCAGCTTAAAAGTCTGACTGCTGTTTCCCTTCACTGCGAGCAGTTCGTTAAGTACGAGTGCTATCACTCTAGGATGAGCTGGTACGCCTGGTGGGTGTCACGTGACTCGATGAAGATGACCTACTGGGGAAATGCAAAACCACGTGGTAATGGATTAACGTGCACTTGCGGGGTGAACAAGACATGTACCAAAGCACGGTATCAATGCAACTGTGATGCGAATGATCTACAATGGCGTGAAGACAGTGGTTTCCTCTCTGATAAGACCGATCTGCCAGTCAAGCAGCTAAGGTTTGGCGATACACGTCAAAATTACGAGCGTGGCTACCATACCTTAGGAAAACTGAAGTGCTATGGAACTGCTTAACTGTAAAGATACGCTCGTAAAGCAGTTTTATCCTGTCAGGCTCATAAACCGTGGAAAGTTAGAGAAAATTTTATCTTCAATTTAGCTGACGTTAAGGTTGACTATGGGTTCCTAAAAACCCGGCGTTGACGTTATTAAGAAGACGCTGTGATCCTTAAGAAATGCTCCTTCATTTCTATGTTCATCTAGTGTAGGGGTATTTTTGTATTCTTTAGTTGTTGTCATTTTAACATCTAAGTGAATGAGAAAAAGTGCGAAAAATATTCTTATAACGACATTTGTACAACCTATGAAGTATCTTTAGGGATGCTTTTACTGTGATGCAGGCAACATTAGCATTGTTCTTCTAATGATATAATCAAATGTAGCAAATGCAGTGGTGCATCTTTTTTTAGGAGGTAGAAGTACTGTCATGTAAGTTCTACTGAGGTTTCAATAGAGTTTGATAGGAGTTAATTGCAAGATTTGTATAAATCGATTGTTCGTAATAGGGGTGCATTTAGGTAACGTGTAATAAGTATTTATTTGTATTGTGCCTCACATGGACTCTGCCTCTCTTAAGGTCCTTAAAAATTAATTGTCAAAAACACCTTGATTTAGAGTCTCTCCCAAATATTAATACAAATCTTTTTAAAGATTCTTTCATGAGTGTATCTGCCCTCTTAAATGTAAACAGACATTACTCGCTACAAAGAACACGTAGAAAATTAATGCTATACATAGTTTTGTATTGAGCAGATTTATTCCTGACATCTTGAAATCATAGGAAAGCTACCGAATGCACTACTTTTTAGCCTCCAAATTGAGGGCGAAAAGAGTATTTCTTCTACTTACTTATAAAAGACGTGAAATTAGTGATAACAGCTATCTTTAGATGCTGTTTAATTGCTTCAATTAGCATTAAGTCACAAGTACAACAAGTAATGCATCTATTTTAAGGTACTTTGCGATGTTTGCACTAATCTTATTGTGCTGCCAGACATTTTGCTCAAGAATGAGCTGTTTGGCTTCTTACAAGAATGGTACTACAACGTTCCTTTTTATCCTTTGTATTTTATTCCGAATCGGACCGGCATCGGTATCTGCTTGTAATGGCGAGTGTACATTCGTCTACATTCGCAAAACTATCTAAAACGTTCGCCCAAAATCACATAGGAAGGGCAACTTTGACCGTTAAGCTGCGCCTCTATCAATATTGCATTGACTGGCCTCCCTTTTTGATCGCGCATTTTTGTTCAAAATATTGCATCACGAGTAGACTTTAGCACGATTTTCCACCCCATGTTACTAATTAGTTTAGTTGTGTGATCTAACGGCTTCTCAATAATAATAACTTGTAAATGCTCTCCTTTTTACCAGCAGGAGTTCAAAGTGATTAAGTAAACTCTGAAAAGTTATCCTTTGTCGCAAATAAAATATATTAAAGTTCACACGGCAACCAGGTGGACAATCAGATATGGTTTGATGCTACTCTGGTTTACAGATTTAGTGAATGTAACCGAAGAAGTTACAACTCATAGACCCATTAACTATGAATTGTAACTTCTTCGGTTACATTCATTAAATCTGTAAACCAGAGTAGCATCAAGCCATGTCTGAGTTGTCCTTTGTGTTTGAAACTTGCGTTTATTGGTGTCTCGACAGGCGGTCTAGTCTCAAACGCTGTATTCGATACCCGTTTGAGCCATTTACGACTAATTGAAAACGAGAGTGCCTCCAAAAATATTTCAGAAACTGCGTTTAAAAAAGAAAAATTACTTATTGGTTTTTTTTCTTGTGGTTCCATAAAAGTGAGAAGGCAAATATCTGAGGAAAAACTCAAACCAAATGGCTTAAATCGACTTTACGAACATCTGAGCATCAAATTGATACCAGTTGATTAAAACATATCATCTCAAAATAATTTTTAATCAAGTACTTTTAAGTACGAAGTATATGAATACTTTTTGAAGTATTTTTGTCGCATTCTTGTAGAGTGACTTATCCGTTTGAAAAAGAAGATCGAAATTAAGGTCTTATTCTTTAACAGGTGACGAATACCGCGTTATCGTGTTCGAGGAACCGATACCAAATAAGGCTATAAGGGATCATGTGGTCAGTAGTGAGGAGGTACCTTATGAAAGGGATTGCCGTATGATGTGTTATTTGGGGCCTAATTGTGTCTCCACCAATGTAAGACCTTCAAATGGAAGAAAATACAAATGTGAATTAAATAACGCCACAGCTGAGGAAAACCAACTCATCTTTCTTAAAGAAAGGGATTCTTACTATTTGGCGATTGAGGTAAATTCTTTATGCCAATGGGTTATTTTGACGACATAGGAATTTTAGAGCATGCATGGAACCATCCACTCCTTCGATGACGAGAAATTATGAAGTGCAGTAACTTTTGGTTGAAATGGTTTAAAAGTAAGAAAGAAGTGAAGCTGATTAGGTATTTGATCGAATCGTTTTTTTCCTTTTCAATGCATCGATCAGTTCGAGGCTTCAACGTTTCCCAAGTAACCTCCAAGGGCATTTGACCTTTTCATGTTTGGTTTGTTCAAGTACCCGCCTCGTCAACTCGTCGTGCTTCACCGTATTTTTGCTTCCAATCATTTAAAAGTTTGAATCCCATTCAAATCACTTCAACGCTATCTTTTTTTTCCACAGAATCCTTGTGCTAACAATCCTTGTTTGAATAACGGAATTTGTCAAGTAGGTTTTACCAGTAAAGGGTATCGATGTGTATGTGTTCCCGGATCTGCTGGGGCAAATTGTGCTGGTATTGTAAAATTTTATTTTCAGTCAAGCTTTCCCTGTTCCTGAATGTTTAAGAAACACATCTAACTAACAAAGTAAAAAAAAAAGAAAAAAAGAAAAAAAAACTGTTAATCGATACAAAAAAGCTCCTTAAAGTCCTCAACAGTTTTTACTACGAATAATAACGTTCAATCCTCCTCAATCATTTAAAATTTAAATCAAAAATTGTTAGTGTCAACGTGAACTTGCGATATTTGTAACGGGGTGAAATTAAAGATAAAAACTGTACCTTTCATAACAAAAGCACCTTCATTTTGAGGTTCAAGTCAGGTCTGCTGAGCTTTATTAGCAACGCACCACTACCGCAGCTTACCCGCGCACGAACGGTTCCTGGATGAAATTCTATTGCTTCTCCAATAATCTCCAAAGAATTTGTTCTCCTGAAAGCCTAGGTCTTCTAACAGAAGAGGGAAATTGTGGGTTCTTTCCGTGTGGTTTTAAATTACAGATTTTCATAAAGCCAGAAAATCAATGAATTTTATTTTAAATTGGTTCTTCAAATTATTATAAGAAAATTGAAAACGTTTTGATCGAATGCATAGCATTGTATATAGTTCTTCGTAAGTCAAAAGGATAACACCACATTTGCAGTGTTGAACTTTTTCTAATACATCATACTTACATACGACATCAACTGTTATGGCGAAGTAATATCGATTCTTGGAAAGAAATGTTCGATAAATTAATGTCAGCCACATTCAGGCAAAAAATCTAATAACAGGAGTCTGATTTTCAATAACACTTCGCATTTTTCTCTGCACAGTGTTATCAAAATCATGCAGCGATTTAAAGAGGTTCGATCTCAAAGCGATAAGTGGAAACTTTTTGATTGATCCTGATGATGAAGGAGGATTGACTCCTTACCATGTCACCTGTGACATGAGTGACAAAGACGGAGTGGGCGTGACAGTAATAAGTCACGACAGCGAGAACAGGACATTGGTGGACGAATGTGAGGATCCGGGCTGTTACTCACGCGACATTCGTTATAAGGGAGCGACCTTTTCTCAGCTGGCAAGCGTAAACAGAGTTTTCTTATTTTGTGAACAGTTCATAAAGTACGAGTGCCCAGGCTTAATTTTTCATGATAGGCAGAACCAAACTCGCAACTGGTGGGTGTCACGTGATTCTATGAATATGGCTTATTTGGGGGGGGAGCAGCGCCTGATAGTGATAAGTGTGCATGCAGGATGAAGGGCGCGTGTGCAAAAAGAGGTGATCGTTGTGACTGTGACAAGAATGACCTTAAATGGCGTGGGGAAAGTGGTTTGCTCACTGAAAAGAAACATCTGCTAGTAAAACAGTTGCGGTTTGGTGATGTCGATGTTCATAACAGGTTTCACGAGGTGGGCTACCATACTTTGTGAAAGTTTAAGTGTTATGGACTCGCCTGATTAAAAAAAACAACAACAGTGCTTTTCTACTGGTATGAAACTAAAATCGTAGCTCAACTGTTCGAATCAGCAAATCAACATTAATCCACATTTCATTGTTATAGCAACATACTGTGATGGTACGAAGGTCCTCCACGATAAGGGTTTATTATACCTTGATCAGCCAGGTCATAAACGAATACAAGATGTTTTTTATCTTTAAGAAATCAGAGTATATTCATCACTCGATAGAATTATGTATTCTCTCATTAAGAATGAAAATATTTGACAAGGCTGTTCACCATCGCTTAAGGCTTAAACAGGTGCTTGTGAAGCATGTTGCTATTTATGATACTTAATTAGTACAGATGTAAAGTTAATGTCCTTTTCCCACTATTTTCTAAGGGTGATTCGCTGCAGCTTAGAGAAATTTCAGGTGATAAACAATAAACAAATTATTATACATATTTCTTGAATAAGCGCCCACGCTCAAAAAAGCGCCCTCCTCCGAATAAGCGCCCGCCCCTCAAACATTGTCAAACATGTGCCTCTCTTAAATAAACGCCCCCCCCCTCCTTCCTCACTTTCTCAGGCAGCAGGCTTACTACAAACACCTGTTTGTATTGCCTCTTTATTTTTAACTTTTCAAGCTTTTTAAACTATAGCGGAATCAGTACTGCGATAGAAGATTGTTCCAGCATTTTTCGTTAAAGCCACTTCCGTTTCTTCTATTGTGATTGCAGAATTCCTTTATATGCGTTATCTGTTCTTAAATTTTTTTCCTTTTGACTGCGCTAAGTTGATAGGCGCCCCTCTCAATAAGGCGCTCTCCTTCCAATTAGCGTTCACCCTTTCAGTCGAAATTTCGACTTTCTTGTTCTGACTCGAAAAAAAAAAAAAAGAAAATGTTTTACAGGTAGAATCTCTTTTGTGGCTGTTCCGCACGTTCTCGCCTATCGCGTTCTATGTAGGTTGAAACGAAATTTCCGAAACATAATAGCTTTTGGGAAAAACTTCGTTTTGAAAAACGAGGAAATATTGCATCAAGGATGCATAAATTGAAACTTCCGTAAAACAAATTAATATGACTCAGTAGGCGGGTTTAATTCATAAACTTCAATTCAAAAATTAAAATTCGCAAATAAATGTTATTGGAATTGGTGTATTCTTTAGTCTTTCGAGGAATATTACCTAATATCCTTGAATTAAATGAATTGAATGTTGACTTTATCGAGGACTCCGGTTGTCACTCTAGTGGTTTAAAAAGCATTCCATATCAATAAATAATCACTCCACCTGCTGCATTTTAAGTTCATCCGGTCTGAAGCGATAACTACTAAGTATGAACTAGGTGGTAGCTGCAATGTTTTGAACTGTTTTACCAGCGCCCTCAAGTGTTAGCACAAGAATGAACTCCTCGGATTATTTCAAGAGGGGAGCGAGAACTTTTCCTGTTATCCTTGGTATTTTGCTCGGAATCAGATTAGCATCGGTTTTTGCTTGCAATGGTAAGTATCATTCGTTTGATAGTTATGAATTAAAAACTACCGTTCTACAGATCTTTTTTAAGAGGATTTTAGAAGATGTTAAATAGCGTGGGAAAAGCACCTGCTCGTGAAGTTTTGGGAATTATCCACATGGATATTTTCAAACTTCCTTTTTTAGAGAATGTCGTAAATAACGTGTTGTATAAAAAAGACTTGGGCGAAGGAAACGAGAGTTCAAGACATCAATTAATCGCACAAAAAACTGGCAAATGGGGTGAAAAATGCAAATGAAGTCGTAGAGTTTCACTGGACACTCTTTTTAGTCTTTATTATAATCAAACCGTATTTTATCAACTCAGTACATGTTCACAACCTTAACGGTGGCTTTTAATGATTCCTCGAGTACTCCTTATCCTGCACAAGGAGCAACGCTAAGTTATTGGGGAAATTTGGGTGAGAATAAACTGCATTATGAAATTTTTATTGGGTTCTACACCAGGTGACGAATGCCGCATTATCATCTTCGAGGAATCGTTACCAAATAAGGCAATCAACGGTCACATTATCAGGAGCCAAGAGGTAACTAATGAGGGGAGCTGCCGGATGATGTGTTATATGGAGCCTAACTGTGTCTCCGTGAATTTAAGACCCGTATACGGAGGAAAATACAGATGTGAGTTGAATAATGCCACAGTTGATGAAAGTAAACTGACCTTCCTTGAGGAAATGGGTGCTTACTACCTGGCTATTGAGGTAATGTTTAATGATTGAATAATAGAAGAGGGTAGATTAAGTTGCCCCTTATATATAGAAAGAGCTGCAATTAGAATACGTTTCTGGTTTTTGATAATTAGAGAAAACAAAAACTAAAATAAAAACAACGCGATTCGAGGCGGGTCAAGGAAGCTTGAGGCAGATAGATCATTTAGTTGATCTTTGTCTTTCCTCTAGACTATTGCAGGAGGATGAAAGAGAAGAAAACTTAAGATAGCGGTTTCGAAGTAGGCCAATAAATTATAACAGCCATGCACGGACCAAGTTTTTCATAAAAGAATTTGCATCTCATTAGTACAGACAGGTTTCGCGGAAACTGTTCTGTCTTTGTACCATAAATAAAATCTGAAGGGATTTGTTTAGAGCTTGTTTCCTTTGCTTTTATTCACCTCATGTTTATATTTAGTTCTTACAATTTAGATTTTCGCTATTTCAACAGAATCCTTGTAGTAGCAGCCCATGTTTGAATAACGGAACTTGTCAAGTTGGTTTCGCTAGCAAAGGGTTTCGATGTGTTTGTGTTCCCGGATATGCTGGAGCAAACTGCAATGGTATAGTGAAATTCTATTATGATCCTATTCTATTGGCTTAAATCCTGCACGAGTTGATATTAATTTGACTTCAGAATATCAGATCTCACATTTCGTTCTCTGGGGCGCATTTTATTGGTCGCGAGGTTCAAATTGTTCCCTCTGCCATAATTTCTTTTCCGAACCGAACTGGCTCTCAATGAATTATAATTCAAATTGGTTTTTTTAATTATTTCAGTAAGATTTGGGATTTTTAGACGGAATAAAGAGCTGCAATTATAACTTCGTAAGTCAAAAGGATACACAACAACGTCGTGCACCTTTCCTGATACCCTCTACTCATCACATGTACCATCAAATGTTATGGTATCGATTCTTGGAATGGATTGTTCGGACATACGAAACAACAACGACAACGTATTCAACTGAAAAAAAGCAAAAAGATCCAATGGTAACATTTTTATTTTTGGTCATCAATGTTCCTACTTTTCTCTACACAGTGTTATCAAAATCTTGCAGTGACTTAAAGAGGCTCGATCCCAAGGCGAAAAGTGGAATCTCTTTGATTGATCCAGATGGTGATGGAGCATTACCACCTTACCACGTCACCTGTGACATGAGTGATAAGGAAGGAGTTGGTGTGACAGTCATAGGTCACGACAGCGAAGATAGGACACTGGTGGACGGATGTGAGCCTGTGGGATGTTACTCACGTGATGTTAATTACACTAGAGTGACCTTTCCTCAGCTAGCAAGCCTTTCCAGAGTTTCTTTGTTTTGTGAGCAGTTCATAAAGTACGAGTGTCGAGGTTCACTTTTTCAGAGTGAAAACGACCGAAAGTACGCCTGGTGGGTGTCACGTGATTCTATGGATATGAATTACTGGGGCGGAGCAGCACCTGATAGTGATAAGTGCGCATGCGGGATAAACGGCACGTGTGCAAAAAGGGGTGGTCGTTGTAACTGTGACAAGAATGACCATAAATGGCGTGAGGACAGTGGTCTCCTCAATGAGAAGACACATCTGCCAGTTAAACAGCTGAGGTTTGGTGATACAGGAGCTAACTCCGAGCAAGGCTACCATACCTTGGGAAAGTTCAAATGTTACGGAATCGCCTGATCTGACAGAAAAAAAAAAAGAAACGAAAGAAAGTATTAAGCTTGGCAATTTCGTATGACATACCTGTATACTGTGATCCTAAACAAATATCTGATATGTCTATCGACCTTTTCATTACTTACTTTTACAATTAGTTTGAAGGCCCACAATGGTAAAATAATACTTGATACGGTAAAAAAGTACCACATTCTACCCTTTTTTTCAATGAGGTGTAAAAATTTCATTTACAGACGAGTGAAGAACTTATTTATGCATGGTGAATATGAAGTACTTTGTAAGTTTTATCAAGGACGCAAATTTTTATGTTTAACCTAATAACACTACATTCCTGATCTACAAGTCTTTGGATCATAGCAATATTAATGATGTCATAGTTGAACTTTGGGTAATAGCCTCATAGCAAGTCAATATGTACGAACGAAACACAGTTTTGCATGGTGTGAATTTCTTTCACACAGAAAAATTCTTCAGAACTGTTCATACCTCCTGTGTACATTGTAGATAACAGGGTTATGGTATTATTAACTGAGTTGTAACTTGAATTCATGGGCCACCGTAAAGAGTTTGAAAGCTGACATTTCGAGCGTTAGCCCCTCGTCTTTCGACGACTTTCAAAAGGGAACCTTTTCATCTCTTGTAGATACATGCTCAAGTAGGACTGGGCATTCACACTTATGCAGTGTATGAGTCGTGTCAAATTAATTCACCGCTGAAAAATAATTTCATGGAAATCATATTTCTATGTAGGGTTTGGTGATAGCAACTGATTTATTTCAATAAAGCAGAAACCATAAACAGCCTTTACGATGATAAGTAATATGTACCTTCATCATCAAAAAATCTTTATTCTATGACTAATGCTCTGCTTCTCATCTTTCCAAAAGACCACAGGAAATGGCTACTTTATGGATTTTCACGTTTGAAATCCATGTTTGACAGGCGTTTCCCTATAAATCGTGAGACCAAAACTACCAGTAAGACTAATGATAAAATAAGGGAATACCGTAAATCCTTAGAAATCACGCCGTCTATGAACGCTGTAAATGTGTGCAAAATTGTCAATGTTGAAGATTGCGGCACTTATTCTAGGACTATAGGCGAGAAAAGGAATAATGAATATTTCAAGTAAGGTACAGCTCGGTAATCCAAACCATCCTTTGACGTTTGTATAAAATGGGAAGACATTGGAATGAGACATGTTTCAGCTTTTGTTAATATTTGTGAAGGATTTACCGTAATTAGAGCCACGCTTACTTAAAAAATATGGGTCTATTATTTTTTTTTGGTATATAATTAAGCTTTGGCGGAAACTTAACCGATTGAAATGACAGTAATACTTCTCTAACATTTTATAGGTAATCTTATTTCCTGAGAATTTTTATATAAAATGAGATAAATCATGATTACATTGCTAGTGAGAGTTCCATATTCAATAAGGTTAACTACCCTAACTTTAAACATTTATCTTATCTTACAGTTTACAGCCTCTTTGCATTGTTGTATCTTATCATGACTGAAGCCTTAAAGTAGTCCTCCAGGGCATTGTCTTGTTGATCATTAAACGCATTCTTCAGAAGGCCGAAGACTCTCCCAGCAGATGCTGAACTTGGCTGGATGACCAACAACTTACTACACCTGCCCAATGTGGAAGTATGTCACTATGGGCTGCCGACCATGCAAGCTTTTCTTCTTCATTTGCCATGACAACACCATCAGCTGCATCACTTTCACACTTTCAAGCTCACTCAAGAGTTGCTCTCTTTCTTTTTCCAATTCCGCTGGAATGATTTCACGGAGGCTAGCGCTGTAGGTTAATCTATGGCTATATTTCTCGAGCAGAGGGGGTAGAATATCTACTTTTGATAGTGGTATACCTCCAGAAATAACACACTTGACTATTTTAAATCGGAACAAACGGAATTCCACAGGCAATATCGATCCACTGGGGTGTTCACGTACGTCTTGCCTTTTAACACAGTTCATGATTGACTGGCTTTGTTTCTTGTCTTTCGCGATGCGAGCATCTCCGTTTGTATGCTTGCTTGACTTTACATGCTCGTCGATTGAGCTTTTCTTCAATGAAAGGGTCTCACTGTAAGCATTACAACGTAAATTTCCACTCACCACTGCGAAATGCTGTTTTGGATAGTCTTTCACGCGACCCCAAGCGCATGTTGTGTTTCCTTTCCCTGAGGACGAGGTCGAGCTACCGCTTCCTCGTTGTTTGTATTTGTCTTCGTTGACGTGAATTTTGCGTTTTCTAGAAATTGAAGCTCTTGGAGGACTGCTAGGAGTTGCCCCACCGATGCCTTTTCCGATGCCCCTATTGTTTATTAGAGCAGTAAAAGATACATGTGCCATCAACACTTTCGAAAAATTGCTTAACATTTTATTTAGCGAAGTATACTGTTGATATTTCGGCTTTACAACACTATTGTTTTCCGCAACTATAACTGATATGTTGCTATATGAGGTATTAAATTTGCTTCTCCGCTGACCACTCGTATTTTGGTCTTTTCTTAATCCCCCACTCGTCGCCCGCGATGTAGTAACTCCCTATTGTTGGAGTCAATAACCACTGGATGTAAGCGCCCGTTAGATAGATAGCTGCTGTCCAGTTCGTGGGCGCACATGTTATTTTATGAATTATTTGTAAGAAAGTACGACATCCTTTGTTTTGACTTTTTTAATAAAAAACTTTTTAATAAAGACCTTTTTGATTGTTTGGTCAGTTTCTAATTCTTTGTTGACTCAAAAGTTGCCAAGGAAGGCAAAAGTTGCTGCAGGTTGCTCGCAGTACAAAAAGTTATTGAAAACGCTAAAAGTTGCTCAAAAGTTGCCGAGCACAATCTATTTATGCCTATTGGTAAGGCCTAGGAATCGTATCTTTAGGAATGATTCAATAATTAATATTAGACCCCTGCACGCACTTTAAACCCTTGAAAATTTTCAACCGCTCTCTCCATTAGCACCTCAACAAACTAGACAGCGAAGCCGATAAAAATGTCGATTGCTTTTGTGTCGAAATATTGCGTTGAGTGGCTAAAAGCGTCTACCGTCTCTATCATCACCTTCTTTCTCATTAGCATAACAAGTGGAGACAGTGCTGATTCCAAATGTGTACCCTTTGGACCACAAAAAATTGCCAAATATCCTTTGTAACTTAACTCCGCCGATTCATGTCATGCTAAGAGACAGTTTTGGTGACTGCCTGAGCTACTTATAAATTGAGCTACTTATAAATTGAGCCACTTATAAATTGTGCACTTATGCAGGAATGGCACTAAGTTCATTAAACGAGCTTATGAGTTTTCAATCTCTCAAAAGCCTCATTCGCTAATAACTTTAAAAAGTTTACATAGCTTTTTGAGCAATTTTTCTTTGGCGTTGATGTTGTTAAATATATGTCTTTCAATTTATATATAGGCAGTGCCGTTGGTTTTCGAATAACTGAAGCGGTTGCACCTATATGACTTTTAGATTTTGTAAAAAGACTCGAGTGGTACCCTAATCACAGTACATTTAAAGTCATTTCTATATGTTTAGGGAGGAGGACACGTAATTTAGAAACTTTTTGAAGAGTTCTTAACTATATACTAAAACATTGACTTGAGAAGCAGCTTGTTAGCTTTTATAGCTACAACACGGTGTCATTGTTTAAACTGACTGTAATTTTGATAATGTTAAGGCTGACTTTTGTCAAAGCTGAGTAAAAAGTTTACCAAACAAACTATAAGAATCGAATCGAGGGTGGGGTTGTGGGGATATTAATATTGCCATTATTTGAACCAGTTGACGCATATCTTGGGGGCCACAGGGTTAACAAGCTTTGATACTCATCCCTGAGGGTTCTAAATGTTATTTTTCTGATACTTCTTCAACTTTTTTTATATTTGCGTTTTGTCCTCTGGTGTAAAAATTCTACTTCTACGAGAAGTACACTTTACCTCAGTTATTACTCTGACTATGAATCTCATCTAAACATTATATGAGAAGACTCTCGATCAAGATGAGATCGAAAAAATATTACCTTCATTATCAACTCTCGTTTTGATATATCGAACAGACCTAGTTATTTTAATTTCAGTTGAATTCCTGATCACTTCAGGTAATTTTAGATCTATCGATCTGATGACAGGGAAGCTCGAATGCTAATAAACTCCAATGGCAACAATTGAATAAAACCACTGAAAGCAATCTTAAGAGGAAATGCTTTGGGGATGAAATTCAAAATTTTGACAGAAAGTGGAAACTGAAAAGCCTCTGTGTTATTATCAAGAAATGCAAATAAGATAAGCATAATTTTTGATAATAACATGTCATTTTGGCTTTGACTTTGAACAAATATTATGCCTGCTGGACTACAGTCGGATCCCGCGTCATCTTATTTTGGGATTTTCAAAGTGTCCTCGCGAGAGAGCTGCCTCTAAATAATATTTTGCTATTTTAGATGAGCACTAAAGGAATAATAACAATAAAAAGTCAGAAGGGAACCACATCAGCCGAGTGAATATAAGAAGCAAGTTTCTGAAGAAACTGTGGTGCTGCGTCGGTGGGGGGTGGGGGGTATTATAGGATAGCTAGAGTCTCTAAAGCTGACATTCCAGGCGTTAGCCCTTCGTAAAAGCGAATAAATTGCTCAGGCTGACTCGTATTGGAAATGAGAAACTTGAAAATTGTGGAAAAAATTTGTTGAAGTACACGCTTCGTGAAGACAATTGTGTCAAGACAATGCCACAATACAATTGGTCAACATGGCAAAGAAGAGAGTGCATAGTTTCATCGATTTTACAGGCAATTTCCTTGAAAATTTAAAGGCGTTAACTTCCCCTAGATATGAAAACACTGCCATCGTGGTTCCTTTGAAGTTATTCCTGTTATGCGTAGACTTGTTAGAGAAGAATTAAGTGCATTGCATAGTTATGGTAATGACTGTTTGATAAATAATACCTTTTTCAAATCGTTTGGAAAGTTTTTTTTCTTTTCAATAGCTTGCTTGCAAGATATTGAATCAGTCATTTTGGTGTCATATCATCGTCCAATATGGCATAACATAATGAATGGAGTTTAAAAGTTGTCATGACAATAGAAGGAATGCAATCATTATGCTATTGTCTTCGGTTTCAAAAACAATGTTCAGAGTTGCCGGAAACTATTTTTAATCATACCTTATATAGATTGGAGAATATGAGTTATAAATATAAATGCCTTTGGAAAAACCAAGGTCTTTTTTAAAAGGACTTGTCCATCGGACATGAAGACTGTCATATATGTTTATTGACTTAACAGTTATTGCGTGCACAACGTTATAATTGTTTTTCAAAAATTTCCAGCCTTGAGAAAAGATAAATTCTCTCTGTTTTCTGTGATTGTGATATTGAAGAATTTTCATTTCGATCTACACTTTTTACCGGGAACTCTGGTCGGAATACTGATAAGTTTTTTGAAGACCAGTACAGCATCTTCAAATTAACATTTCGTCTCGAAAGCATCTATTTCACCTGCTCTTTCGGTTTAAAGTAAAGACAAATGAATTAGCATAAGCTGTGAGAGCTGCAGTGTACTGCCAAAGGTGCAATTTGACCCCTCCGGCCGTAAACCAGTATCTATAAGGATGAATTATTCGACATATTTCAAGATTACAGCCACAAATTTCTCTTTTACCCTTTCTATTTTGTTCGGAATCAGATTGACATCGGTTTTCGCTTGTTCTGGTGAGTTTGAATCTAAATGTCGCAATAAATTCGCAATAAATTGCTACAATCGGTATTTTCCTGACTTTCATTGTTAAATAATCTAAACCTTGTTCAACTAAAAAACTGGAAAAATATCACCGCCAAGTTTTTTAACACTACAATTCTTGATGGTTGGCGACGGGTTTTTAATTGCGTGAACCTCTCGGTTGTTTTTAGCCGAAGACATTGTCGGTCAAAATTTGCTTCCCGTTGTCTCTAAACCAGGATGCAAACTTCAGGACAAAGTTATTGGGCAACCTTGTTAGAACAGTCTCAACAGAGCATGCTTTAGTGAATTAGTCTATTATTGCTTTGAAGGTCAATTTAGAATATTTCGAATTAAGACTGCAGAAAGCGGAGAGGTGCACCACAGTGCCCCAACTGCTGACAACCACTAAAATTAATCCACAAAATTCAACAGATGGGTGTAGAAAACGTGTTGTTTAAAATTGTTTAATCCTGCAAAGACTTAGCAAAAAAGATTTATGAAAACCCAAAAGTTCTAAGGTAGACGAGAAAATGAAGGTATCGCGTGGAATTATTTAAAAATTTGTCTCCATTCGGTTGGTAGAATCCTCTTCAGTGCTACGACTTTCTTTCAAGTAGAACCTTTAGATCAGGAAAAAAGAACTTTCTATTTTTAGCACTGACAAGTTGTCAACGAAATTATATATGCCTGCTTAGCCGGTGAAAGGTTAGTTAAGCTGATTGTGAATTAGTTTTCATACTACATTAAAATTAAGGTTGTGACATTCGATTTGATAGTAGATTTAAAAATGAAAATCACAATGGTATAATGACAAAATTCTTAGCATTCTACTATCAATGTTAACGTGCACTTGTATGATTAACAGGCGACGAGTGCCGCATCATTATGTTCGAGGAGCTGAAACCACAGAGGGTAATAAAGGGGCACGTGATTAGAAGTGAAGAGGTAGTTAATGAGGGGTTCTGCAGGACGATGTGTTATATGGAGCCTAATTGTGTCTCCATCAATGTGAAACCTTTACAAGGAGGAAAATACAAATGCGAATTGAATAACGCCACAGCTGATGAAAGCCAACTGGTTTTCCTTGAGCCGGAAACTTTTAATGCTTACTACTTGGCTGTTGAGGTCAGTAAACTTTTCATAGTTCCATATATAGGCTTTTCACGCCTCAATAGTATCTTTAATTCCAATCAATTTGATGCTTTCGTTTAAAAAGCAAGGACGAAACAACTAATTAAATGCTGGAGGATAGCTCAGAATGGATAGAGACTCAACTGAAAAATATGCAGCACTGAACAATGAAGCATAAAAAGAGCATAAAGCATCCGAATGCTGGCAAACTGAGCAATGTCATAAACTGTTGTCCACGGTTGATTTCCTTTCTTCATCTTTCGTTTCAATTTTTCCTCTGTTATGCCGTCGTTGACTTAATTTTTGACGGTGTTTTACGCAGTATATGTTCAGCTTTCGCGGTCCTTGTAGTAAAAGTTGTGTCATGTCTTTAAAATTATCCTTCAGTTACTATCTCTTTCGTTTTCAGCAGAATCCATGCAGTAGCAGCCCTTGTTTAAATAGAGGAACTTGTCAAGTTGGTTTCACTAGCAAAGGCTTCCGCTGCCTCTGTGTTCCTGGGTATGCCGGAGCAAATTGCAGTGGTACTGTAAAATCTTCTTAGAGATAGAGTTGTCTTGAATTAACTAACACACCTTACTTCCCCTAAAGATACTGTCAGTAATCTAAAGGAACCGTAAGGTTCAACCACTTACTTCTCCCAAACTTTTAAATCCAATGAAGTTTTGAATTTATTTTATTCGTCTGATTAAGGCAAAACGGAAGGGATTTTGTTTAAGAGATTGTTGGCTTTAAAAGTTTTCTTTACACTCTAATGGATGGAAAAGATAGTTTTTACTTATCAAAACAACATTGCTGCAATTCATCGTGAGGTTCCCTTCAGCAAGTCTTTCAAAACATTTAATTAAACATTTGTCTCTCTTTATCACCACAGTGCCACCAAAATCCTGCAGCCATTTAAAAAAGCTCCATCGTGAAGCAAAAAGTGAACCATACATGATTGATCCAGACAGTGAAGGTGAACTACTGCCTTATAAGGTCATGTGTGACATGACTGACAAAAACGGAGTTGGCGTGACTGTCATAAGTCACGACAGCGAAATCAGAACATTGGTGAAAGGATGCGAAAATGCAGGCTGTTACTCGCGCAACATTAACTATACAGGAGCGAGCCTCTTTCAGCTTAAAAGTCTGACTGCTGTTTCCCTTCACTGCGAGCAGTTCGTTAAGTACGAGTGCTATCACTCTAGGATGTGGTGGTACGCCTGGTGGGTGTCACGTGACTCGATGAAGATGACCTACTGGGGAAATGCAACACCACGTGGTAATGGATTAACGTGCACTTGCGGGGTGAACAAGACATGTACCAAAGCATGGTATCATTGCAACTGTGATGCGAATGATCTACAATGGCGTGAAGACAGTGGTTTCCTCTCTGATAAGACCGATCTGCCAGTCAAGCAGCTAAGGTTTGGAGATACGGGTCAAAACAACGAGCATGGCTACCATACCTTGGGAAAGCTGAAGTGCTATGGAACTGCCTAACTGTAATGATACGCTCGTGAACCAGTTTTATCCTTTCAGGCTCATATACCGTGGATAGTAGGAGAAAATTTTATCTTCAATTTAGCTAACGTTAAGGTTGACTGTGGGTTCCCAAAAACCTAGCGTCGGCTTTGCGAAGAAGACGCTGTGATCCTTAAGAAATGTTCCTTCATTTCTACGTTCATCTAGTCTACGGGTATTTTTGTATTCTTTTTGTTGTTGTCATTTTAACATCTAAGTGAGTGGGAAAAAGTGCGAAAAAAATTGTTATAACAACATTGATACAACCCATGAAGTATCTTTAGGGATACTTTCACTGTGATGCAGGCAACACTATGATCAAATGTAGCACATGCAGTGGTGCATCTTTTTTCAGGAAGTAGAAGTACTGTCATGTAAGTTCTACTGAGGTTTCAATAGAGTTTGATAGGAGTTAATTGCAAGATTTGAAATCGATTGTTAGTAATAGGGGTGCACTTAGGTAACGTGTAATAAGTATTTATTTGTATTGTGCCTCACATGGACTCTGCCTCTCTTTAAGGTCCTTAAAAATTAATTGTCAAAAATACCTTGATATAGAGTCTTCTCCGATGTATTAGTACAGATCTTTTTAAGATTCTTTTGTTAATTGTCTGATTTTTTGATATTAATAGAAATGTTTACATGCTGTGACGTTTTTCTCACCCGTAATTAAATAGGAAATTTTTGATTCGTTACAAGAATCTCATCTATGTTAATAATCTCATGAGTGTATCTGCCCTCTTAAATGTAAACAGGCATTACCTGTTACAAAGAACACGTAAAAAGAATGAGCTCTTTGGCTCCTTACAAGAATGGTACTACAACGTTCCTTTTTATACTTTGCATTTTGTTCCGAATCGGACCGGTATCGGTATTTGCTTGCAATGGTGAGTGTAATCTTACAGTGAATTGTAGTTCTGGACTTTTAAATTCTATTAGAAGATTTTACAAGGTGTCTATCATGACAGGAGATAACTGCCTTTGTATCAATGACTCGCGACGAAATTGTCCAATAAGCCCATAATTATGGTCTGGTCATAAGGGGCTCGGGGGTATAGGAACCGTACCATTTTCTTAGCTGATCGAATCCAAAATTTTATTGTTTTTCTGAACTTATTTGTGTAAGTAAAGACGTTTCCACCTCCTACTGTCTCTGTTTCGTTTACCCAGAGCCACTTACCCTTGACACTGATTACCTTCCATAAAAGGTACATGCAGTAGTTGATTATTTCATATTGGGTCAATCCAAACTTATGATACCTTTACCTTAGCTTAAATGTCTGATTCCATAAATCCACTACAATGTTAAATGCATGATTTCAAGGCTTTTAATAATTGATTGTGTTTTCGAACTCCTCAAATCGTCTACATTCGCAAAACTATCTAAAACGTTCGTCCAAAATCACATAGGAAGGGCAACTTTGACCGTTAAGCCGCGCCTCTATCAATATTGCACTGACTGGCCTCCCTTTTTGATCGCGCGTTTTTGTGCAAAATATTGCATCACGAGTAGACTTTAGCACGATTTTCCACCCCATGTTACTAATTAGTTTAGTTGTGTGATCTATAGGCTTCTCAATAATAATAACTTGTAAATGCTCTCCTTTTTACCGGCAGGAGTTCAAAGTGATTAAGTAAACTCTGAAAAGTTATCCTTTGTGTTTGAAACTTGCGTTTACTGGTGTCTCGACAGGCGGTCTAGTCTCAAACATTGTATTCGATACCCGTTTGAGCCATTTACGACTAATTGAAGACGAGAGTGCTTCCAAAAATATTTCAGAAACTTCGTCTAAAAAAGAAAAATGACTTATTGGTTTTTTTCCTTGTTGTTCCATCAGAATGAGAAGGCAAATATCTGAGGAAAAACTCTACCAAATGGTTTAAATCGACTTTACGAACATCGGAGCATCAAATTGACATCAGCTAATTAAAACATGTCGTGTCAAAATCATTTTTAATCAAGTACTTTTGAGTACGAAGTGTATGAAATACTTTTTGAAGCATTTTTGTCGCGTTTTTTTAGAGTGATCCGTTTGAAAAAGAATCGAAATTAAGGTCTTATTCTTTAACAGGTGACGAATACCGCGTTATCGTGTTCGAGGAACCGATACCAAATAAGGCTATAAGGGATCATGTTGTCAGTGGTGAGGAGGTACCTTATGAAGGGGATTGCCGTATGCTGTGTTATTTGGAGCCTAATTGTGTCTCCATCAATGTAAGACCTTCAAATGAAGGAAAATACAAATGTGAATTAAATAACGCCACAGCTGAGGAAAACCAACTCATCTTTCTTCAAGAAAAGGATTCTTACTACTTGGCGATTGAGGTAAATTCTTTACATCAATGGGATATTTTGACGGCATAGGAATTTTAGAGCATGCATGGAATCACCCACTCCTTCGATGGAGAGAAATTATGAAATTATTAGTAACTTTTGGTTGAAATGGTTTAAAAGTAAGAAAGAAGTGAAGCTGATTAGGTATTTGGTCGAATCTTCTTTTTCTCCCTTAATGTACCGATCACTTCGAGGCTTAAACGTTTCCCCAGGTAACCTCCCCGGGCATTTGATCTTTTCATATTTGGTTTGTTCAAGTACCCGCCTCCCGAGACAAAGTTGTGTTCAAATGCGCTACCCAAGTGCCAGATTTGATGATGAAATTGTTTTTTGCAAAAGGCAACATCGGCGACCGTGACTTTCAGTTTGACTTTGTAAACCTTTATTCCAAGCCATCCACTCGTAAAAGTGAATTATTTACCTTTAAACATCTTTACATATAAACAATAGCCTCTATTTGGCGCTAAAATATGTATGAAGATTTGTCCGCGGATATTGTCTGTTCCAAGATGCGACGTTTTTTATCTATTGTGTATAAAACCCTTCAAATACTCAGCAACGCACGTTTACGAACACCTTATTGTTTCCAGCGAGGGATGATCTCTTATGAGTGTTCTCTGGTACAAACTTTATGAACAAAAAAGATTTTCCTTCTTCTTCTGGGGGACATTCGGCCACATGACGCGTATAGACCAATCATTGGCGAGAAAATTTGTTTGATGGATCATAATCTCAGATGTCACCCAGTTTTAGCTGGGGGATGTTCAGAAAGGTGCTGCGTTTAGACCAATCACATGCGAGCAAAAATACATAAAAAATACATACAAAAAGATGTGATGGATCATAATTTAAGTTATTACACTTGCGCAAGGTTCAAATTTCCTAGCAAAGGGATTAAGGGTAGGGGGGGAATGGTGAAGCTTCGAATTGATCGGCGTATAAGCATTTGCAGTAGGTATCTCACAGTAGCTTCGAGGATAAATTTCCTTGGCCAAGTAGCTAGGTCTGTAGAGCAATGAGACAAAAAACGGTTTTTACAAGGTTTGCATAGAAGTCCTTGTAGCACAGGTATTTTTCAGTGAAAATTGTTCTGTTAACTCGTCGTGCTTCACCGTATTTTTGCTTCCAATGATTCAGAGGTCTGGATCCTTTTCCAATCACTTCAATGCTTTCCTTTTTTCCACAGAATCCTTGTGCTAACAATCCTTGTTTGAATAACGGAATTTGTCAAGTAGGTTTTACCACTAAAGGATATCGATGTGTCTGTGTTCCCGGATCTGCTGGGGCAAATTGTGCTGGTATTGTAAAATTTTATTTTCAGTCAAGCTTTCCCTGATCCTGAATATTTAAGAAACAAATTTGACTATCAAAGAAAAAATATAAAAAAAGCTGTTAATCGATACAAAAAAGCTCCTTAAAGTCCTCAACAGTTTTTACCACAAATAATAACGTTCAATCTTCCTCAATCATTTAACATTTATATTAAATATTGATGTTGTCAACGTGAACTTGTGACATTTGTAACGGGGCGAAATTAAAGATAAAACCTGTACCTTTTAGAACAAAAGCACCTTCGTTTTGAGGCTCAAGTCAGGTCTGCTGAGCTCAGTCGGGAACACATCACCACCGCAGCTTACTAGCGCATGAAACGACTAGGATTCCTGCGACAGTTCTCGGATGAAATTCTATTGCCTCTCCAGTAATCTCCCAAGAATTTGTTCTCCTGACAACCTAAGTCTTCTAAGAGGAGCGGGGAATTGTGGTTCCTTCCTTGTGATTTTGTAAAAATTACAGATTTTCATGAGGCCAGAAAATCAATGAATTCAATTTTAAATTGGTTCTTCAAATTGTAATAGGAAAATTTAGAACGTTTTGATGACATGTATAATATTGTTTATAGAACTTCGTAAGTCAAAAGGATAACAGCACATCTACAGTGTTGAATAATGATCGAGCACTTTTTCTGATACATTATACTTACATGCCGACATCAACTGTCATGGCGAAGTAATATTGATTCTTGGAAGAAAATGTTCGATAACTTAATGCCGGCCACGTTTAGGCAAACAATCTAATGATAGGAGTCTGATTTCGCATTTTTCTCTGCACAGTGTTATCGAAATCTTGCAGTGACTCGAAGAGGCTCGATCCCAAGGCAATAAGTGGAAACTTTTTGATTGATCCTGATGGTGAAGGAGGATTGACTCCTTACCATGTCACCTGTGACATGAGTGACAAAGACGGAGTGGGCGTGACAGTAATAAGTCACGACAGCGAGAACAGGACATTGGTGGACGGATGTGAGCATCCGGGCTGTTACTCACGTGACATTCATTATACAGGAGCGACCTTTTCTCAGCTGGCAAGCCTAACCGCAGTTTCCTTATTTTGTGAACAGTTCATAAAGTACGAGTGTCAAGGTTCACTTTTTCATGATGGGCAGAACCAAACTCGCAACTGGTGGGTGTCACGTGATTCTATGGATATGGCTTATTGGGGGGGAGCAGCACCTGAGAGTGATAAGTGCGCATGCGGGATGAAAGGCACGTGTGCAAAAAGGGGTGATCGTTGTAACTGTGACAAGAATGACCATAAATGGCGTGAGGACAGTGGTCTCCTCAATGACAAGACAAATCTGCCAGTAAAACAGTTGCGGTTTGGTGATGTCGGTGTTCATAACGGGTTTGACGAGGTGGGCTACCATACTTTGGGAAAGTTTAAGTGTTACGGACTCGCCTGATCAAAAAAAAAAGAGAACAAAAATCAAATCACATTTTTAAACAACAATTCTTTTCTACTGGTATAAAACTAAAATCGTAGCTCAACTGTTCGAATCAGCAAATCAGCATTAATCCACATTTCACTGTTGTAACAACATGCTGTGATGGTACGGAGGTCAACCACGGTAAGGGTTTATTATGTTCTGATCAACCAGGCCATAAACGATTACAAGATGTTTTTTGTCTTTAAGAAATCATCACTCCATAAAATTATTTATTCTCTCATTAAGTAAGAAAATATTTGACAAGGCTGTTCACCATAGCTTAAGGCTTCAACAGGTACTTGTGAGGCATGTTGCCACTGGTGATACTTAATTAGTACAGATGTAAAGCTAATTTCCTTTTCTCACCATTTTCTAAGGGTGATTCACTGTAGCTTAGAGAAAATTCATGTGATAAAGAGGGGACCATTGGGGCCTATTAGAAACCGTAAAACAGTAGAAAAAATCATCTAAAACCGAAAAATCGAAAAAAACTAGATCAAAACCGAAAACTGCATGCAAAACTGTCCAAACCGATACATTTTCACATCCTAGTTATTAAAACCCTGATCGATCCGACACAGTGGTTTTATGAATGCCATGGACTTGGCATTCGTATCTTCTAGTATCTGCTTAAATTGACAGCTGCTCTCTCGAGGACCTTGAGCGTAGTCTCTGCGAACTCAGCAGCTGGTCATGGAGCCTAGTTAGATTAAGGGAATTCGCACAAACGTCCTCTATAGGATTGCAATTTTGCAGTCGCAAGAAGTTATAGCTCTGGAAAGTTTCATCGAAAGTCCCTAATCTAACATTTCCATTTGCGAACTAAGTCCTGAAAGTTTGGAGATTCTATTGGAATGTTGAATCAATCAGTCACGTGTGGTCTGTAACTTGGTCACCAACTTCGAGGTGGTGTTGATAAAAAACCCTGGCAATGTTCCGTGCTTAGCCGTACCCTCCCCCACACGTAGGCTACCTAGGGATCCCTACGATATTTCAATGGTTTGTCACGCATTCGTCTCGATAACATTTGCGTTTAGCTGCTATTCGAGATCAGTGGAGGCGCGTAATTGCCGCTCAGATCGAAGAGGAACCGGAACCCAAATAGGTCAAATATGAAAATCCGAAAACCCATTAATATTTTTCGCGAAAACCGAAAACCAAATGCTAAAAAACGGAAAATCCGTAAACCGCAATGAACACCAAAACCGACAAAACGAAGTTTTTTGGCACAAAAACCGAAAACTGATCTAAAAAATAGCCAAAACCGCAAAACCGAAAATCCCAGTGCCCCCCTCGATAAACAAGAAACACACATTATTAAAGATATTTCTCGAATAAGCGTCCACGCTCAAAAAAGCACTCTCCTCCGAAAAAGCGCCCACCCCTTTACCACATTGTCAAACAAGTGCCACACTTAAATAAACGTCCCCCCACTCCTCCCTCAAGTTAACTGTGACCAGAATTACAATAATTGGAGTGAGGACAGTGGTTTGCTCACTGAGAAGAAACATTTGCCAGTGAAGCAATTGCGGTTTGGTGATGTAGGCGTCCATAGCAGGTTTGACGAGGTGGGCTACCATACATTAGGAAAGTTCAAGTGTTACGGACTTGCCTGATTTGAAAAAAAATAACAAAACTAAATTGCCCTTTTTTTTAAGCAATGCTTTTCTACAGTTATAAAACTAGGAACTTAATCTAAATGTTAAAATCACGATCATGAAGGTGTTCACTATAGCTAGAGGCAATTTTCAATACCGTGAGTAAAGTTTTTTTTAAACAAGTTCGTTATATATGTTATATATTATCATTTTACCACAAAGTGCTGAGGCGTAATGGTAATTACTTATTTTCTCATTCAACTATTTGGAATATTTTACAAGGTTCACTTTCCATGGCTGTAAGTTATTCTACGGAATGAACAGGAAGTAGACATAATCGTATCTTGAAAATACCACGATTCAGCCAGTAGTGTTCTCTGTCTCAAAATGACAGCTAAAATAGTAGTTATCATGGGTTTTGACCAGATTTTCGCATTAACTATGGTGTTAATTTTGAGAAAAACGCCATAATAAACTTAACTAAGACTATTTGGGGTGCAGGATATTTTGCAAGGTTTTATTTCACGTGCTCGCCTTACATATCCTGATTTACAAACTTTCTCTGTGTTATCCCAACATCCCACGCGGATCTATCACGTTTTAAACCCAAGGAAATGTGTTCTATTGCTCGTAAGTCACAACTGTGAATGGGGTTTAGCAGAGGGAAAAAAATCACCGTTCAGCGTTTTTCTCAAGTATATATGTCACCGATCCTAAGAAACCCAGACAAAGAGCGTGAGAAACCAATCAAAAAGTTTGAGAGAAATTGAACAACCGGCGCGAAGAACAAAGTAAAGGTTTCATGCAGTAAACTCTACTTGGAAGTTTGACTGCTGTTGACGTATTACACCGTCACTCACGGTAAGTCCTCATATATATCAGCTAGCCAGTCTCCCATTCAACAGTTCCACCCAGCCTGGAAAATAATGACGGTCTACCGCTTTGATGGTTTCCGAGTGAAACTTAATTGACGCTTAATCAATGGATATTTTAGTTTGCGGTGCTTGACTACCATAGTTTTGCAGCACAAAATAAAGTTACAGCGTAACGAAGATGCATAGTGTACGATGCAAATTTTTAATTCTGGAATATCTCCCTGCTGGAAGAATTTATAATGAAGTAGGTATTCTCGAAGCTTAACTCTTGATGACCAAATTGGGTAATGATAACCTATCTAAATTAGAATGTATGCAAACTAAAAACAGATGGATTGTGATAATGTTTGCATTAAACTTGAGTAAAACTGCTTCTATCTGCCCCCTTATGGAGGGCATTGAAGTCAAATTTTCGAAAATAATTTAACAGACTTGTTGAGTGTTTTCTAGCTAGATCAGTAATTTTTCTGGTAGTGCAAGTAAATACTAAGTCGCGTGGAACTTTATTCAGTATTTTTCTCTTCAACATTCTGTCAATTATCTATGCCTGTTAGCGGGCGGCAAACAGTTGGCACTGTTTTGGCTCAACATGGACATTTGTATTCATTCTTAGAAAGATCTTTTTGTTATGATCATGAGTATTAATAGTCTAAATAGCATTTGGGTCAAACCATTGGGCGCGCTCCTCTTTTAGTTCGTGTTTTTATTTCTACAGGCCTCCCTTTCTGAAATCTTCATAGAGTAGTGTTTTTGTATTTTAACGCATGAAGTTAAATGAATAGCACCTACACAAAGTGAGAACATGGGTGCCTTACCATCGATCATAAGTTACAGAGATTGAATAAGAGAATTATGCAGACGATGTCCTGCTTTTTATCCCCCTCTGGGTATTTGCACAAATAACCCTCACAGTCATTCACTCTCATTGTCCACCGAACCAATAAAAAGATGATAGCCTCCCTATATATTAAATAAAGAAATAACTGTCAGCCTTTTAACTCCCACTTCTGCATACATTACAACTGATCCCTAAATTCTCGTAAATACAAACCCTTCAAAAGGCAGCGAGGAGTTCTAATAAAGTGAGGGGCTGTAACGTAAACTAACTGGAGCTTTCAGGCTCGGCTTAATCTTGATATTATTCATTCTAGAAATGACGCATAAATCGAGAGTGATTAATAAAAATCCTGTAAGTTTAATGGACCGAAAACTAATGAATTCCTCGGTAGAAATCGCTTATAGAATAAGACTGCTTTTAAGCTAATTCAAGGAACGCTTCTTCTACTTTCTTTGACTCAAGTTATAGTAGCCGAAATTAGTCGCATATTTAATTTGTTCTTTCATCCAGTTATCACTCAAGAGGTCTAATAAACATTCCACCCCAACAATATTGCACCTGGTGCACTATTAAGTTCATCCGGTCTAAAGTGATAAGGGAACTGTTTTACCAGCGCCCACAAAAGTTTGCACAAGAATGAACTCCTCGGATAACTTCAAGAGGGGAGCGAGAACTTTCACTGTTATGCTTAGTATTTTGCTCGGAATCAGATTAGTATCAGTTTTTGCTTGCATTGGTGAGTAAAATTCGTTTGATAGTTATGATTAAAAACTGCACTTCGACAAATCTATTTGTAGAGGATAGAAGGTGTAAATAGCGTGAGAAAAACAAGAGCACCTGTTCGTGAAGTTTTAGGAATTATCCTCATAGATATTTTAAAACTTCCTTTTTTCAGAGAGTGTCGCAAGTAACATGGTGTATAAAAAACACTTGGGCGAAGGAAACGAGAGTTCAAGACATCAGTTAATCTCACAAAGAACTGACAAATGCGGTGAAAAATGCAAATGAAGTCGTAGAGTTTCACTGGACACTCTTTTTAGTCTTTATTATAATCAAACCGTATTTTATCATCTCAGTACATGTTCACAACCTTAACGGTGGCTTTTAATGATACCTCGAGTATTTCTTATCCTGCACAAGGAGCAACTCTAAGTTATTGGGGAAATTTGAGTGAGAATAAATAGCATTATCAAATTTTTATTGGGTTCTACAACAGGAGACGAATGCCGCATTATCATCTTTGAGGAACCGTTACCAAATAAGGCAATTAACGGTCACGTTATCAGGAGCGAAGAGGTAGCTAATGAGGGGGACTGCCGGATGATGTGTTATATGGAGCCTAATTGTGTCTCCGTGAATTTAAGACCCTTACACGTAGGAAAATACAAATGTGAGCTGAATAACGCCACAGTTGATGAAAGTAAACTGACCTTCCTTGAGGAAATGGGTGCTTACTACCTGGCTATCGAGGTAATGTTTATTACGATTAAGTTGCTCTTTATAGAAAGGGCTGCAATTAGAATACGTTTCTGTTTTTGAAAATTAGAAAAACACAAAAATTAAAATAAAAACAGCAAGGCGAGTCGAGTCGAGGCGGGGCGGGTCGAGGCGGGTCGAGGCGGGTCGAGGCGAGTCAAGTCAACTTGAGGCCGAGAGATCATTTAGTTGATCTTTGTCTTTCCTCTAGGCTATTGCAAGAGGATGAAAGAGAAGAAAAAGTAGGCAAATAAATCATAACAGCCATGTACAGACCAAATTTTTCGCAAAAGAATTTGCATCTCACTAGTATAGACAAATTTTGCAGCAACTGTTCTGTCGTTGTACCATAAATCTGAAGGGAATTTGTTCAGAGCTTGTTTCCTTGCTTTTATTCACCTCATGTTTGTGTTCAGTTCTTACAATTTAGATTTTCGCTATTTCAACAGAATCCCTGTAGTAGCAGTCCTTGTTTGAATAACGGAACTTGTCAAGTTGGTTTTACCAGCAAAGGATTTCGATGTGTCTGTGTTCACGGATTTGTTGGAGAAAACTGCGGTGGTACTATGAAATCCTTTTTTGAATTGTACTTATTTCCTATTGTACATTAATGAAAAGACATAGTTTGCTCTTGCAGAAGTTATGAGAAACGTCAGACAGAAATACCATTAGCGAACGTAAAGTGCACCGTCGCGGGTACTGGAAGGACATGTACTTTTTTAATCTGCTCACCATCATTCCTGTCTTTCTCACAGAAATAGAGTTAAATGGGGATTCACAAAACTCGTTGTTTTACTCAACTTGCAGTAGGTTACAACTAAGAAAAAATTTTAACTTTTTAAGGATGTATACCATCAACAACATGGTAACTTCCTTGGAAAAGATCTTTGTCAAAGATTCAGTATTTACATCAGATACGGCTGCGCTCATATTTATAACGAACTGTGGCATGATTGATTCTTCAAAGTAACAGTGCTAAAAAAATTGCTATAAAATTTTTCTCAACACTCCAATCACTTTAATTTTTGTATTAATTGTGATGAAAAAGATAGTTTTTAATTATCAAAACAACATTGCTGTAATTCATCCTGAGGCTCCTTTCAGCAAGTCTTCTAAAGAAACTTTTGATTAAACATTTGTCTTTCTTTATCACTACAGTGCTCTTGCGAAAGTTATGATAAACATCAGACAGTAATACCGCTAGCATACGTAAAGTGCATCCTCGGGGGTACTGGAACGACACGTACTTTTTTAATCTGCTCATCACGATTCCTGTCTTTCTCTCAGAAATGGGGATTCACAAAACTAATCGTTGTTTTACTTAACGTGCAGTAATTAACAACTAAGAAAAATTATTAACTTTTTAAGGATGTATGCCATCAACAACATGGTAACTTTCTAGGAAAAAAACCTTTTTTTAAGATCCTTTATTTGTATCTGATATGCTGCGCTCATATTTATGACGAACTGTGGCATAATTGATTCTTCAAAGTAACAAAGCTTAAAAAAATTGCTTTAAAATCTTTTTCAATACTCTAATCACTTTACTTTTTATATTAAATGTGATGAAAAAAAAATAGTTTTTAGTTATCAAAACAACATTGCTGTAATCCATCATGAGGCTCCCTTTAGCAAATCTTTCAAAACTCTTACTTAAACACTTGTCTTTCTTTATCACCACAGTGCTACCAAAATCCTGCAGCCATTTAAAAAAGCTCCATCGTGAAGCAAAAAGTGGACTATACTTGATTGATCCAGACAGTGAAGGTGAACTGCTGCCTTATAAGGTCATGTGTGACATGACTGACAAAAACGGAGTTGGCGTGACTGTCATAAGTCACAACAGCGAAAACAGAACATTGGTGAAAGGATGCGAAAATGCAGGCTGTTACTCGCGCAACATTAACTATACAGGAGCGAGCCTCTTTCAGCTTAAAAACCTGACTGCTGTTTCCCTTCACTGCGAGCAGTTCGTTAAGTACGAGTGCTATCACTCTAGGATGTGGCGGTACGCCTGGTGGGTGTCACGTGACTCGATGAAGATGACCTACTGGGGAAATGCAACACCACGTGGTAATGGATTAACGTGCACTTGCGGGGTGAACAAGACATGTACCAAAGCATGGTATCATTGCAACTGTGATGCGAATGATCTACAATGGCGTGAAGACAGTGGTTTCCTCTCTGATAAGACCGATCTGCCAGTCAAGCAGCTAAGGTTTGGAGATACGGGTCAAAACAACGAGCATGGCTACCATACATTGGGAAAGCTGAAGTGCTATGGAACTGCCCAACTGTAATGATACGCTCGTGAACCAGTTTTATCCTTTCAGGCTCATATACCGTGGATAGTAGGAGAAAATTTTATCTTCAATTTAGCTAACGTTAAGGTTGACTGTGGGTTCCCAAAAACCTAGCGTCGGCTTTGCGAAGAAGACGCTGTGATCCTTAAGAAATGTTCCTTCATTTCTACGTTCATCTAGTCTACGGGTATTTTTATATTCTTTTTGTTGTTGTCATTTTAACATCTAAGTGAGTGAGAAAAAGTGCGGAAAAAAGTCTTATAACAACATTGATACAACCCATGATGTATCTTTAGGGATACTTTCACTGTGATGCAGGCAACACTATGATCAAATGTAGCACATGCAGTGGTGCATCTTTTTTTAAGGAAGTAGAAGTACTGTCATGTAAGTTCTACTGAGGTTTCAATAGAGTTTGATAGGAGGTAATTGCAAGATTTGAAATCGATTGTTCGTAATAGGGGTGCACTTAGGTAACGTGTAATAAGTATTTATTTGTATTGTGCCTCACATGGACTCTGCCTCTCTTTAAGGTCCTTAAAAATTAATTGTCAAAAATACCTTGATATAGAGTCTTCTCCGATGTATTAGTACAGATCTTTTTAAGATTCTTTTGTTAATTGTCTGATTTTTTGATATTAATAGAAATGTTTACATGCTGTGACCTTTTTCTCACCCGTAGTTAAATAGGAAATTTTTGATTCGTTACAAGAATCTCATCTATGTTAATAATCTCATGAGTGTATCTGCCCTCTTAAATGTAAACAGGCATTACCTGTTACAAAGAACACGTAAAAAGAATGAGCTCTTTGGCTCCTTACAAGAATGGTACTACAACGTTCCTTTTTATACTTTGTATTTTGTTCCGAATCGGACCGGTATCGGTATTTGCTTGCAATGGTGAGTGTAATCTTACAGTGAATTGTAGTTCTGGACTTTTAAATTCTATTAGAAGATTTTACAAGGTGTCTATCATGACAGGAGATAACTGCCTTTGTATCAATGACTCGCGACGAAATTGTCCAATAAGCCCATAATTATGGTCTGGTCATAAGGGGCTCGGGGGTATAGGAACCGTACCATTTTCTTAGCTGATCGAATCCAAAATTTTATTGTTTTTCTGAACTTATTTGTGTAAGTAAAGACGTTTCCACCTCCTACTGTCTCTGTTTCGTTTACCCAGAGCCACTTACCCTTGACACTGATTACCTTCCATAAAAGGTACATGCAGTAGTTGATTATTTCATTTTGGGTCAATCCAAACTTATGATACCTTTACCTTAGCTTAAATGTCTGATTCCATAAATCCATTATAATGTTAAATGCATGATTTCAAGGCTTTTAATAATTGATTGTGTTTTCGAACTCCTCAAATCGTCTACATTCGCAAAACTATCTAAAACGTTCGTCCAAAATCACATAGGAAGGGCAACTTTGACCGTTAAGCCGCGCCTCTATCAATATTGCACTGACTGGCCTCCCTTTTTGATCGCGCGTTTTTGTGCAAAATATTGATTTTCCACCCCATGTTACTAATTAGTTTAGTTGTGTGATCTATAGGCTTCTCAATAATAATAACTTGTAAATGCTCTCCTTTTTACCGGCAGGAGTTCAAAGTGATTAAGTAAACTCTGAAAAGTTATCCTTTGTGTTTGAAACTTGCGTTTACTGGTGTCTCGACAGGCGGTCTAGTCTCAAACATTGTATTCGATACCCGTTTGAGCCATTTACGACTAATTGAAGACGAGAGTGCTTCCAAAAATATTTCAGAAACTGCGTCTAAAAAAGAAAAATGACTTATTGGTTTTTTCCTTGTTGTTCCATCAAAGTGAGAAGACAAATATCTGAGGAAAAACTCTACCAAATGGTTTAAATCGACTTTACGAACATCGGAGCATCAAATTCACATCAGCTAATTAAAACATGTCATGTCAAAATCATTTTTAATCCAGCACTTTTGAGTACGAAGTGTATGAAATACTTTTTGAAGCATTTTTGTCGCATTTTTTTAGAGTGATCCGTTTGAAAAAGAAGATCGAAATTAAGGTCTTATTCTTTAACAGGTGACGAATACGGCGTTATCGTGTTCGAGGAACCGATACCAAATAAGGCTATAAGGGATCATGTGGTCAGTGGTGAGGAGGTACCTTATGAAGGGGATTGCCGTATGCTGTGTTATTTGGAGCCTAACTGTGTCTCCATCAATGTAAGACCTTCAAATGAAGGAAAATACAAATGTGAATTAAATAACGCCACAGCTGAGGAAAACCAACTCATCTTTCTTCAAGAAAAGGATTCTTACTACTTGGCGATTGAGGTAAATTCTTTACATCAATGGGTTATTTTGACGACATAGGAATTTTAGAGCATGCATGGAATCACCCACTCCTTCGATGGAGAGAAATTATGAAGTGTAGTAACTTTTGGTTAAAATGGTTTAAAAGTAAGAAAGAAGTGAAGCTGATTAGGTATTTGGTCGAATCTTCTTTTTCTCCCTTAATGTACCGATCACTTCGAGGCTTAAACGTTTCCCCAGGTAACCTCCCCGGGCATTTGATCTTTTCATATTTGGTTTGTTCAAGTACCCGCCTCCCGAGACAAAGTTGTGTTCAAATGCGCTACCCAAGTGCCAGATTTGATGATGAAATTGTTTTTTGCAAAAGGCAACATCAGCGACCGTGACTTTCAGTTTGACTTTGTAAACCTTTATTCCAAGCCATCCACTCGCAAAAGTGAATTATTTACCTTTAAACATCTTTACATATAAACAATAGCCTCTATTTGGCGCTAAAATATGTATGAAGATTTGTCCGCGGATATTGTCTGTTCCAAGATGCGACGTTTTTTATCTATTGTGTATAAAACCCTTCAAATACTCAGCAACGCACGTTTACGAACACCTTATTGTTTCCAGCGAGGTATGATCTCTTATGAGTGTTCTCTGGTACAAATTTTATGAACAAAAAAGATTTTCCTTCTTCTTCTAGGGGACATTCGGCCACATAACGCGTATAGACCAATCATTGGCGAGCAAATTTGTTTGATGGATCATAATCTCAGATGTCACCCAGTTTTAGCTGGGGGATGTTCGGAAAGGTGCTGCGTTTAGACCAATCACATGCGAGCAAAAAGATTTGATGGATCATAATTTTAGTTATTACACTTGCGCAAGGTTCAAATTTCCCAGGAAAGGGAAGTAAAGGGGGGGGGGGAATGGTGAAGCTTCGAATTGATCGGCGTATAAGCATTTGCAGTAGGTATCTCACAGTAGCTTCAAGGATAAATTTCCTTGGCCAAGTAGCTAGGTCTGTAGAGCAATGAGACAAAAAACGGTTTTTACAAGGTTTGCATAGAAGTCCTTGTAGCACAGGTATTTTTCAGTGAAAATTGCTCTGTCAACTCGTCGTGCTTCGCCGTATTTTTGCTTCCAATGATTCAGAGGTCTGGATCCTTTTCCAATCACTTCAATGCTTTCCTTTTTTCCACAGAATCCTTGTGCTAACAATCCCTGTTTGAATAACGGAATTTGTCAAGTAGGTTTTACCACGAAAGGGTATCGATGTGTCTGTGTTCCCGGATCTGCTGGGGCAAATTGTGCTGGTATTGTAAAATTTTATTTTCAGTCAAGCTTTCCCTGATCCTGAATGTTTAAGAAAAATCTAACTATCAAAGCAGAAAAAAAAAAAAGAAAAGAAATTTAAGTTATTAAAGTCCTCAATAGTTTTTACCACGAATAATAACGTTCAACCTCCTCAATTATTTAACATTTAAATAAAATATTGATAGTGTCAACGTGAACCTGCGACATTTGTAGCAGGGAGAAATTATAGATAAAAAATGTACCTTTTATAACAAAAGCACCTTCATTTTGAAGTTCAAGTCAGGTCTGCTGAGCTTCGTCAGCAACGCATCACTACCGCAGCTTACCCGCGCATGAACGGTTCCTGGATGAATTCTACTGATCTCCTAAGAATTTCTTCTCCTGACAGCCTAATCTTCTTATAGGCGCGGGGCATTGCAATTCCTTCCGTGTGGTTTTAAATTATAGATTTTCATAAGGCCGGAAAATCGATGAATTTTATTTTAAATTGGCTCTTCAAATTATTGTAGGAAAATTGAGAACGTTTTGATGGAATGCATAGCGTTGTATATAGAACTTCGTAAGTCAAAAGGATAACACCACATTTACAGTGTTGAATAATGATCGAGCACTTTTTCTAATACACTATGCTTATATGGGACATCAACTGTTATGGCGAAGTAATATCGATTCTTGGAAGGAAATGTTCAATAACTTAATGCCAGCCACGTTCAGGCAAACAATTTAATGATAGGAGTCTCATTTTCAATAACACTTCACATTTTTCTCTGCACAGTGTTATCGAAATCTTGCAGTGACTTGAAGAGGCTCGATCCCAAGGCGATAAGTGGAAACTTTTTGATTGATCCTGATGGTGAAGGAGGATTGACTCCTTACCATGTCATCTGTGACATGAGTGACAAAGACGGAGTGGGCGTGACAGTAATAAGTCACGACAGCGAGAACAGGACATTGGTGGACGGATGTGAGCATCCGGGCTGTTACTCACGTGACATTCATTATACAGGAGCGACCTTTTCTCAGCTGGCAAGCCTAACCACAGTTTCCTTATTTTGTGAACAGTTCATAAAGTACGAGTGTCAAGGTTCACTTTTTCATGATTGGCAGAACCAAACTCGCAACTGGTGGGTGTCACGTGATTCTATGGATATGGCTTATTGGGGGGGAGCAGCACCTGATAGTGATAAGTGCGCATGCGGGATGAAAGGCACGTGTGCAAAAAGGGGTGATCGTTGTAACTGTGACAAGAATGACCATAAATGGCGTGAGGACAGTGGTCTCCTCAATGAAAAGACACATCTGCCAGTAAAACAGTTGCGGTTTGGTGATGTCGGTGTTCATAACGGGTTTGACGAGGTGGGCTACCATACTTTGGGAAAGTTTAAGTGTTACGGACTCACCTGATCAAAAAAAGAAAAAAGAGAACAAAAACCAAATCACATTTTTAAACAACAATTCTTTTTTACTTGTATAAACCTAAAATCGTAGCTCAACTGTTCGAATCAGCAAATCAGCATTAATCCACATTTCACTGTTGTAACAACATGCTGTGATGGTACGGAGGTCAACCACGGTAAGGGTTATTATGTTCTGATCAACCAGGCCATAAACGATTACAAGATGTTTTTTGTCTTTAAGAAATCAGAGTATATTCATCACTCCATAAAATTATTTATTCTCTCATTAAGTAAGAAAATATTTAACAAGGCTGTTCACCATAGCTTAAGGCTTCAACAGGTACTTGTGAGGCATGTTACCACTGGTGATACTTAATTAGTACAGATATAAAGCTAATTTCCTTTTCTCACCATTTTCTAAGGGTGATTCACTGTAGCTTAGAGAAAATTCATGTGATAAAGAGGGGACCATTGGGGCCTATTAGAAACCGTAAAACAGTAGAAAAAATCATCTAAAACCGAAAAATCGAAAAAAAACTAGATCAAAACCGAAAACTGCATGCAAAACTGTCCAAACCGATATATTTTCACATCCTAGTTATTAAAACCCTGATCGATCCGACACGGTGGTGACAAGCGGAGCATACAGAGTAAACTACGCTAATTTCATTACAGGATTTATGAATGCCATGGACTTGGCATTCGTATCTTCGATATTGCGGTTTGGTGATGTAGGCGTCCATAGCAGGTTTGATGAGGTGGGCTACCATACATTAGGAAAGTTCAAGTGTTACGGACTTGCCTGATTTGAAAAAAAATAACAAAACTAAATTGCCCTTTTTTTTAAGCAATGCTTTTCTACAGTTATAAAACTAGGAACTTAATCTAAATGTTAAAATCACGATCATGAAGGTGTTCACTATAGCTAGAGGCAATTTTCAATACCGTGAGTAAAGTTTTTTTTAAACAAGTTCGTTATATATGTTATATATTATCATTTTACCACAAAGTGCTGAGGTGTAATGGTAATTACTTATTTTCTCATTCAACTATTTGGAATATTTTACAAGGTTCACTTTCCATGGCTGTAAGTTATTCTACGGAATGAACAGGAAGTAGACATAATCGTATCTTGAAAATACCACGATTCAGCCAGTAGTGTTCTCTGTCTCAAAATGACAGCTAAAATAGTAGTTATCATGGGTTTTGACCAGATTTTCGCATTAACTATGGTGTTAATTTTGAGAAAAACGCCATAATAAACTTAACTAAGACTATTTGGGGTGCAGGATATTTTGCAAGGTTTTATTTCACGTGCTCGCCTTACATATCCTGATTTACAAACTTTCTCTGTGTTATCCCAACATCCCACGCGGATCTATCACGTTTTAAACCCAAGGAAATGTGTTCTATTGCTCGTAAGTCACTGTGAATGTGAATGTGAATGGGGTTTAGCAGAGGGAAAAAAAATCACCGTTCAGCGTTTTTCTCAAGTATATATGTCACCGATCCTAAGAAACCCAGACAAAGAGCGTGAGAAACCAATCAAAAAGTTTGAGAGAAATTGAACAACCGGCGCGAACAACAAAGTAAAGGTTTCATGCAATGAACTCTAGTTGGAAGTTTGACTGCTGTTGACGCATTACACTTTCACTCATGGTAAGTCCTCATATATATTAGCTAACCAGTCTCCCATTCAACAGTTCCACCCAGCCTGGAAAATAATGACGGTGTACCGCTTTCATGGTTTCCGAGTGAAACTTAATTGACGCTTAATCAATGGATATTTTAGTTTGCGGTGCTTGACTACCATAGTTTTGCAGAACAAAATAAAGTTACAGCGTAACGAAGATGCATAGTGTACGATGCAAATTTTTAATTCTGGAATATCTCCCTGCTGGAAGAATTTATAATGAAGTAGGTATTCTCGAAGCTTTACTACTGATGACCAAATTGGGTAATGATAACCTATCAAAATTAGAATGTATGCAAACTAAAAACAGATGAATTGCGATAATGTTTGCATTAAACTTGAGTAAAACTGCTTCTATCTGCCCCCTTATGGAGGGCATTGAAGTCAAATTTTCGAAATCAATTTAACAGACTTGTTGAGTGTTTTCTAGCTAGATCAGTAATTTTTCTGGTAGTGCAAGTAAATACTAAGTCGCGTGGAACTTTATTCAGTATTTTTCTCTTCAACATTCTGTCAATTATCTATGCCTGTTGGCGGGCGGCAAACAGGTGGCACTGTTTTGGCTCAACATGGACATTTGAATTCATTCTTAGGAAGATCTTTTTGTTTATGATCATGAGTCCTAATAGTCTAAATAGCATTTGGGTCAAACCATTGGGCGCGCTCCTCTTTTAGTTCGTGTTTTTATTTCTACAGGCCTCCCTTTCTGAAATCTTCATAGAGTAGTTTTTTTTGTATTTTAACGCATGAAGTTAAATGAATAGCACCCATACAAAGCGAGAACATGGGTGCCTTACCATCATAAGTTACAGAGATTGAATAAGAGAATTATGCAGACGATGTCCTGCTTTTTATCCCCCTCTGGGTATTTGCACAAATAACCCTCATACTCATTCACTCTCATTGTCCACCGAACCTATAAAAAGATGATAGCCTCCCTATATATTAAATATAGAAATAACTGTCAGCCTTTAACTCCCTCCTCTGCACAAATTATAACCAGTCCCTAAATTCTCGTAAATACAAACTCTTCAAAAGGCAGCGAGGAGTTCTAATAAAGTGAGGGGCTGTAAAATAAACTAACTGGAGCTTTCAGGCTCGGTTTAATCTTGATATTATTCATTCTAGAAATGACGCATAAATCGAGAGTGATTAATAAAGATCCTGTAAGTTTAATGGACCGAAAACTAATGAATTCCTCGGTAAATAAAGTGAGGGGCTGTAAAGTAAACTAACTGGAGCTTTCAGGCTCGGTTTAATCTTGATATTATTCATTCTAGAAATGACGCATAAATTGAGAGTGATTAATAAAAATCCTGTAAGTTTAATGGACCGAAAACTAATGAATTCCTCGGTAGAAATCGCTTATAGAATAAGACTGCTTTTAAGCTAATTCAAGGAACGCTTCTTCTACTTTCTTTGACTCAAGTTATAGTCGCCGAAATTAGTCGCATATTTAATTTGACCTTTCATCCAGTCATCACTCAAGAGGTCTAATAAACATTCCACCCCAACAATATTGCACCTGGTGCACTATTAAGTTCATCCGGTCTAAAGTGATAAGGGAACTGTTTTACCGGCGCCCACAAAAGTTTGCACAGAATGAACTCCTCGGATAACTTCAAGAGGGGAGCGAGAACTTTCACTGTTATGCTTAGTATATTGCTCGGAATCAGATTAGCATCAGTTTTTGCTTGCATTGGTGAGTAAAATTCGTTTGATAGTTATGATTAAAAACTGCACTTCGACAAATCTATTTGTAGAGGATTTTAGAATGTGTAAATAGCGTGAGAAAAACAAGAGCACCTGTTCATCATGAAGTTTTAAGAATTATCCACATAGATATTTTAAAACTTCCTTTTTTCAGAGAGTGTCGCAAATAACATGGTGTATAAAAAACACTTGGGCGAAGGAAACGAGAGTTCAAGACATCAGTTAATCTCACAAAGAACTGAAAAATGCGGTGAATGCAAATGAAGTCGTAGAGTTTCACTGGACACTCTTTTAAGTCTTTATTATAATCAAACCGTATTTTATCATCTCAGTACATGTTCACAACCTTAACGGTGGCTTTTAATGATACCTCGAGTACTTCTTATCCTGCACAAGGAGCAACTCTAAGTTATTGGGGAAATTTGGGTGAGAATAAATGGCGTTATCAAATTTTTATTGGGTTCTACAACAGGAGACGAATGCCGCATTATCATCTTTGAGGAACCGTTACCAAATAAGGCAATTAACGGTCACGTTATCAGGAGCGAAGAGGTAGCTAATGAGGGGGACTGCCGGATGATGTGTTATATGGAGCCTAATTGTGTCTCCGTGAATTTAAGACCTTTACACGGAGGAAAATACAAATGTGAGCTGAATAACGCCACAGTTGATGAAAGTAAACTGACCTTCCTTGAGGAAATGGGTGCTTACTACCTGGCTATCGAGGTAATGTTTATTACGATTAATTTGCTCTTTATAGAAAGAGCCGCAATTAGAATACGTTTCTGTTTTTGAAAATTAGAAAAACACAAAAATTAAAATAAAAACAGCAAGGCGAGTCGAGTCGAGGCGGGTCGAGGCAAGTCAAGTCAACTTGAGGCCGAGAGATCATTTAGTTGATCTTTGTCTTTCCTCTAGACTATTGCAAGAGGATGAAAGAGAAGAAAAAGTAGGCAAATAAATCATAACAGCCATGTACAGACCAAGTTTTTCGCAAAAGAATTTGCATCTCACTAGTATAGACAAGTTTTGCAGCAACTGTTCTGTCGTTGTACCATAAATCTGAAGGGATTTGTTCAGAGCTTGTTTCCTTGCTTTTATTCACCTCATGTTTGTGTTCAGTTCTTACAATTTAGATTTTCGCTATTTTAACAGAATCCCTGCAGTAGCAGTCCTTGTTTGAATAACGGAACTTGTCAAGTTGGTTTCACCAGCAAAGGGTTTCGATGTGTTTGTGAACCCGGATATGCTGGAGCAAACTGCAATGGTATAGTGAAATTATATTATGATCCTATTCTATTGGCTCAAATCCTGCGCGAATTGATGCTAATTAGACTTCAGAATATCAGATTTCACATTCCCTCTTTCAGGTTGCACTTTATAGGTCGCAAGGTTCAAATTGTTCTATGTGCCATCATTTCTCTTCGAAAGCGAACAGCTTCTCAATTATTTATAATTCAAATTGGTTCTTTAAATTATTTCGGCAAGATTTGGGGATGTTAAGACGGAATTAAGAGTTGCAATTATAACTTCGTAAGTCAAAAAGATAACACAACAATGTTGGATAATGATCGTACACCTTTCCTGAAACTCTCTACTCATCACATGTACCATCAAATGTTTAAAGAGATAGTATCGATTCTTGGAATGGATTGTTCGCCATATGCAGACAACGTGTTCAACTAAAAAAAACAGCAAAAAAATCCAATGATAACATTTTTATTTTTAATCATCAATGTTCCTACTTTTCTCTACACAGTGTTATCAAAATCTTGCAGTGAGTTAAAGAGGCTCGATCCCAAGGCGAAAAGTGGAATCTCTTTGATTGATCCAGATGGTGATGGAGCATTACCACCTTACCACGTCACCTGTGACATGAGTGATAAGGAAGGAGTTGGTGTGACAGTAATAAGTCACGACAGCGAAGATAGGACTCTGGTGGACGGGTGTGAGGATCCGGGCTGTTACTCACGTGACATTCATTATACAGGAGCGACCTTTTCTCAGCTGGCAAGCCTAACCACAGTTTCCTTAATTTGTGAACAGTTCATAAAGTACGAGTGTCAAGATTCACTTTTTCATGATGGGCAGAACCAAACTCGCAACTGGTGGGTGTCACGTGATTCTATAGATATGGCTTATTGGGGGGGAGCAGCACCTGATAGTGATAAGTGCGCATGCGGGATGAAAGGCACGTGTGCAAAAAGGAGTGATCGTTGTAACTGTGACAAGAATGACCATAAATGGCGTGAGGACAGTGGTCTCCTCAACGAGAAGACACATCTGCCAGTAAAACAGTTGCGGTTTGGTGATGTCGGTGTTCATAACGGGTTTGACGAGGTGGGCTACCATACTTTGGGAAAGTTTAAGTGTTACGGACTCGCCTGATTAAAAAAAACAAAAAAAGAGAACAAAAATCAAATCACATTTTTATTGGTGGACCCTTAAACCAAAAGGATCGAAATTCTAACCATTTCATTAGTTAATGTTAATGTCATTTACTCTTTTTGTTACAATATTCTAATTTAATACTTTTGAAATGAAAGAGAAAAAATCCCGCCTATCTTGCGCGCGATAATAATTAGCTGTTACTGTCAAGAAACTCGTAAGTATAAACAATAGAAAAGCAAATAACACTTACCCTACGCGGGCCACTGACACTTTTATTGTTAAGTAAAGTTCAACAATATTAGAAATAAGATCACACATAGCGAGCGTGCATCTTAATTGTTTTGCGATAACTAGGATAAATAAATGTTTATGTTTGTTTTAAACATTTTGTTTCATAATTTGTTGGGTACGAATCGACCAAACGGTTGGGTACGAACTGATCGAAAGTGGGTACGAAACGTCTGAGCCTGGGTACGAATTGTCAGGGTACAAAATATCCATGGGTACGAAACGACCGAATACCTATCATTTTACCACAAAGTGCTGTATAGTAATGGTAATTCCTTATTTTCTCATTCAGCTATTTGGAATATTTTACAAGGTTCACTTGCCAAGGCTGTAAGTTATTCTACGGAATGAGTGGGAAGTAGACATAATCGTATCTTGAAAATACCACGATTCAGCCAGTAGTGTTCTCTGTCTTTAAATGACGGCTGAAATTGTATTTATCATGGGTTTTGACCAGATTTTCGCACTAACTATGGTGTTGATTTTGAGAAATTTTTGCTCGTAAGTCACAACTGTGAATGGGGTTTAGCAGAGGGAAAAAATCATCGCTCAGCGTTTTTTTCGAGTGTGTCACTTATCCTAAAAAGCCCTGCCAAAGAGCGTGAGAAACCAATCAAAGTGTCTGAGAGAAATTGAACAACCGGCGCGAAGAACAAAGTAAAGGTTTCATGCAATGAACTCTAATTGGAAGTTTGACTGTTGTTGACGTATTACACTGTCACTCATGATAAGTCCTCATGTATATTAGCGAGCCAGTCTCCCATTCAAGTTCCACCCAGCCTGGCAAATAATGACGGTCTACCGCTTTCATGATTTCCGAGTGAAACTTAATTGACGCTTAATCAATGAATATTTTAGTTTGCAGTGCTTGACTACCAAGTAACAACGAGGCGAGGATGTATAGTGTACGATGCAGATTTCTTAATTATGGAATATCTCCCTGTTGGAAGAATTTATAGTGAAGTAGGCATTCTCAAAGCTTAACTACTGATGACCAAATTAGGTAATGATTGCCTCTCCAAATTATAATGTATGCAAACTAAAAACAGATGGATTGTGATAATGTTTGCATCAAACTGGAGTAGAACTGCTTCTATCTGCCCCTTTTATGAGGGGCATTGAAGTCAAATTTTCGAAAATAATTTAACTAGACTTGTTGAGTGTTTTCTAGCTAGATAATTTTTCTGGTAATGCAAATAAATACTAAGTCGTATGGAACTTTTTTCAATATATTTCTTTTCAACATTCTGTCAATTATCTATGCCTGTTGGCGGGCAGCAAACAGTTGGCACTGTTTTTGTTAAACATGGACATATGTATTCATTTTTAGAAAAATCTATTTGTTATGATTATGAGTCTTAATAGTCTGAAGAGCATTTGGGTCAAATTATTGGGCGCGCTCTTAGTTTGGGCACTTTTGGTTCGTGTTTTTATTTCCACCTGCCTTCCTTTTTGAAATCTTTATAAGGTATTTTTTTTGTATTTTGAGGCATGAAGTTAAATGAATTGTATCCACACAAGGCGAGAATACGGATGCCTTACCACCATAAGTTACAAAGTCTGAATAAGAGAATTGTACAGACGATGTCCTGCTTTTTATCTCCCTCTGAGTATTTGCACAAAGAACCCTTACAGTCATTCACTCTCATTGTCCACCGAACCTATAAAAAGATGATAGTCTTCTTACATTTTAAATAAACAAATTACTATCAGCCTTTAACTCCCTCCTCTGCATAAATTTTAACGGATCCCTAAATTCTCGTAAATATAAACTCTTCAAAAGGCAGCGAGGAGTTCTAATAAAGTGAGGAGCTGTAGAATAAACTAACTGGAACTTTCGCGCTCGGCTAACTCTTGATATTATTCATTCTAGAGATGACGCATAAATTGAAAGGTAATTAAAGTTCTGCAAGTTTAATAGACCGAAAACTTGAACTTCTCAATAGGAGGCGCTCATAGAACTAGAATGGTTTTATTAAGCTAATTCAAGGAATGCTTCCTCTACTTTCAAATTTCAAATTTCATCCAGTTGTCACCGAAGAGGTCTAATAAACATTCCATCCCAATGATGTTGCACCTGGTGTACTATTAGGTTCATCCGGTCTAGGGTGATAATTATTGAGTATAAACTAGGTGGTAGCACTGTTTTGCCGGCGCCCACAAGTGTTTGCACAAGAATGAACTTCTCAGGTTATTTCAATAGGGGATCGAGAACTTTCCCTGTTATCGTTGGTATTTTGCTCGGAATCAGATTAGCATTGGTGAGTTGAAATAAATTCCAAAACTGTGTAGTTTTATTTAATTACCTATAGAGGTAAGCACCTTTATAGGCGAAGGCACAAGCGTAAGCGCAAACGCAAGCATAATGTTTATATGCCAAATGAAAATGAACCTCGACAAGCACTAGCAAGATAGAGGAATAAAATTTTATCTTTACACTTGTGTTTACGCTTGCGAAGAGGCTTGCGTAGAGGCTGTTTTCACGGTGAAATATGAGCTGTTATGCTTGTGTCGCTCGTGAAAACTAGGCTTTAAGGGATTATCTACCTCACATGATATAAAAATTACAGGACGGATTTGATTGTTTTGAATATCTTTTCCCATATTTAAACTCGTCTCTCTTTCCCTCGATTACCGAGATAACAACTATCGAGCATTTTGCGAGAAAAAAAATCAGGCGAAAGAAAGCCGTCTTACGAAGTTTTAGAAGATGATTTAAAAGTACACGATTGCTGACTTCTCGGTCAATTTAAGTTTTTCTTATCAAAATTAAGACAGTTAAAAAGAACTAATATATCTCTCTGCTTTTAATTAACATAAAGTTAAATTTATTATTCAGAGGCTTTGAATAATCACGTTTTCTTTCTCCCAAGCTCTTACTGGTATTATATATAATCTTCATTTATCGCAGAACGACTTCAAAAAGGTTGCGTAGATCAACTGATATTTTTTTATATTAAGAATGACTCACAACCCAACATTTGGCTTTTCGACGGTAACCGGTGCTTTCTTTCCTACGCAAGTTTCAGCTCTAAGTTATTGTGAAAACCTCGAGCAAAATATGTTGCATAGTAAAATTTTATTGTGGTCCACAACAGGTGACGAATGCCGCATTATCCTGTTCGAGGAACCGATATCAAATAAGGTAATTAACGGTCACACGATCAGGAGTGAGGAGATACCTGATGAAGGGAGCTGCCGTATGATGTGCTATATGGAGCCTAACTGTGTGTCCATCAGTTTGAGACTCGCGCAAGGCGGAAAATACAAATGTGAGTTGAATAACGCCACAGTTGATGAAAGTAAACTGACCTTCCTTCAGGAAGCGGATGCTTACTACCTGGCTATTGAGGTAAATGCATTGCAAGAACTACATTGATGAAAAGACATAGTTTGCTCTTGCGAAAGTTATGATAAAAATCAGACAGAAATACCACTAGCATACGTAAAGTGCACCCTCGCGGATACTGGAACGACATGTACTTTTTTAATCTGCTCATCACGATTTCTGTCTTTCTCTCAGAAATGGGGATTCACAAACTAATCGTCGTTTTACTTAACGTGCAGTAATTAACAACTAAGAAAAATTATTAACTTTCATAAGGATGTATGCCATCAACAACATGTTAACTTTCTAGGAAAAAAAATTTTTTTAAGATCCTTTATTTGTATCTGATATGCTGCGCTCATATTTATGACGAGCTGTGGCATAATTGATTCTTCAAAGTAACAAAGCTTAAAAAAATTGCTTTAAAATCTTTCTCAATACTCTAATCACTTTACTTTTTATATTAAATGTGATGAAAAAGATAGTTTTTAATTATCAAAACAACATTGCTGTAATCCATCATGAGGCTCCCTTTAGCAAATCTTTCAAAACTTTTTGTTCTTTACAAGAATCTCATGTTTGTTAATCTGCGAAGATGCAGGCTGTTACTCGCGCAACATTAACTATACAGGAGCGAGCCTCTATCAGCTTAAAAGTCTTACCGCTGTTTCCCTTCACTGCGAGCAGTTCGTTAAGTACGAGTGCTATCATTCTAGAATGGAGGGGTTCGCCTAGTGGGTATCACGTGATTCGATGAACATGACCTACTGGGGAGGTGCAAAACCGCGTGGTAATAGATTAAGGTGCGCATGCAGGGTGAAAAAGACATGTACAAGAGCAGGGTATCGTTGCAACTGTGATGCGAATGATCGACAATGGCGTGAAGTCAGTGGTATCCTCTCTGACAAGACCGATCTGCCAGTCAAGCAGCTAAATTTGACGATACACGTCAAAATTACGAGCGTGGCTACCATACCTTAGGAAAGCTGAAGTGCTATGGAACTGCTTAACTGCGTTGATACACTTTTAAACCAGTTATATCCTTTCAGGCTCATAAACCGTTGAAAGCCAGAGAGAAAATTTTACGTTCAATTTAGCTGACGTTAAGTTTGATTGTAGGTTCCCAACAGCCTGACGTTGATGTTATTAAGAAGACGCTGTGATCCTTAAGAAGTGTTTCTTTATTTCTACGTTTATCTAGTTTAGGGGTATTTTGTATTTAGTGAGTTAGAAAAAAATGCGAAAAAAATAGTAATAACAACATTTGTACAACCTAGGAAGTAGGGATGCGTTCAGTGTGATGATTAGCAGTGTTCTTACAAGGCTATAATTAGTCAAATATAGCACATGCAAATGTGCATCTCTCTTTTGGAAGTAGAAG